GTGCGAGCAACTGGTGAAGGTGCTGTTCTACAGGATGCAGTGGAGCTGTTGAAATCCCTGCGCCTGAACAAGGAAGATAAGCCTGTGGTCAAGGTGGCGAGAGTGGTACAAGATGATCAAAAGGGACTTCGGCGAGGCCTCTTGGAGCTTCGCATGCAATGCGATCCTTGGAGGCTGGTGAGCCACGGCCCACAAAGCAGGTGATGGTTTCGCTGGCAACGGGAACGCAGATAATGGCCATGAATGAAGGTGGTATATTGCCCACCACAGAACAGGTTGATCCTATCCTGCCGATTGGAAAGCTGAGTCAGTATCCAGGCGTCAAAGTCAAGTGGAAGAAAGGGCGCTGCCAAGTGACGCATCCGCTCTATGGAAATCTGGGAGTGGAGCAAGTGAGTGGGCGCCCTATGGTGTCCCATGAGATGGCGCTGAAGTTGATCAAGGACTTGGAGGCGGTGATCAAGGATCCAGTGGTGAAAGTCCTGCAGACAATGTGAAAGGCAGCATGCCCGGAAGAAAATTCTGAAGAACTGGTGAAGAAGGCGATGAAAGCTGCGCTGGATCACCCGACTGCAGATCGGCTTATGCCGGCGATGTGGCGGTGGATACGATGGTTCTATCCAGATCTTCCAGAGGTGGTGGTGCTGCAAATGTTGTCTGGGCTAGGACAAGAGTTCTCAGGCGAGGAATTGCCGTTTAATCGACATAAGCGGCGGCGTTTGAAGAAAGCCAAGAAGGTCGTGATTCACCTGTTCAGTGGAGACCACCGGTGGTACTTGCCAGGCAATGTGGGGGAGGTAATGGAGGTGGAAAAAAAAAGGGGGCGATGTTGATTGTGGGCCTATATTGTCCAATTGGCTTTACAAGGGAAGCTGGCAATCGTGGCAGGTCCGCCGTGTAGATCAGTCTCGTCTTTGCGATCAAGGGACGATGGTGGCCCGATGGTGGTCCGAGGGCGAAAGGATTCTCTTCGGTTTGGTCTTCCCGGGCTATCCAAATCTCAACAGGAGTTGGTGACTGGTGATACTGCACTGCTGATGAAATCTGTATGATTATTCTGTTCTGTCCCGAGAGTCGCAATGGGAGGCTACAGGGGGAACAGCACCAAGGAGCGCTGACTTAGTATTCTTTGGGATGGAAAACCCTCAGGATCCGGAGTTGGTGGGAGCTTCAATCAGTCAGACTACTCGTTGCGTTTTGTGCGCAGAAGATACAGTATGGCGCAAGACCAACGGAACAACACTGTGAACGCTCGTGTCATGTTCGTCTGTGCGACTATGGACATCTACACTATGTATGCCGTTTGGTGTGGTTGTTCTGCTGTGCAACGTCGAAGCAAGTGCATGGAGCAGAAATTGACCGCAATTGCAAAGCATCTGGCACGAAATCATAACACACGCACACACACATGCCTACAACAGACGTTACAACTTCAGCAATTCATGACGCAAATAACTTCAGTCCCGCCTAAACACTCAAGGACCTAAGAAGTTTGATATTATATTTTGTAGAATACATAATATCAAACTGGGTCAGATGCAGATGACTGCATTTGTTGCATAAGCATGTCGTGCTTTTGCGATTTCCTGTGCGTCGCCATGTTTCGTAGTGACACGTAGCAACCACATTCGCAAAGCCTTTTTTCCTTCAATTTGGTCATTATGTCTTCTTTGTGTTCCTGTCCGTATAATGTATTTTGTTCAATTTTCAGCTCTTTGTTCTTCTCCCGCCATTCTTTGCCAAATTCCTTGTGATAGTCAATCGTCTCTAAGTAATATTGCTTACTTGTTCTACCGCATTGTATTCTATCTACACACTCTGTGTTTCTAATGTGATGCCCTTCTCTTGCTTCAAGCTCTGCCTTGCTGTTGCATGGAAACAACTCCAACAGCTCTATCTTGCAATTTTTACAACCAAACTCATCAAACAACGAAAACGAAGTTGTATATCCGTAGCGCCCTTTCAAATATGATTTGTATTTGTCTCGGTGTTTAGTCATTCGTTTGCTCAGGCTTTCGCAAGTGCTTCCTATATAACACTTGCTAAAACTATTGTCCCAAATCTAGTAGATTTTCCCTTCTTGGTAGTCAGGCATGAACCTATTTTTGCGTAACGTGTTTTACCTTTCTATACCTCTTCTTTAGAGAAGGAAGTACACCTTCAGCAATTCAAGGCGCAAATGCCCCCTTTTTACTTTTGCCCCAAAGCAGTTTCAATATCATAAATGGTCTGTTTTTCTTTCAGCCAGTTGCTCACTCTTTCTTTATACAATTTATCGTTTTCCTTATATATTTTGACTGTATCGCCTTGTTCTGGTAAAGGGTACCAATGGGCTACCAGCTATGTATCATTCGGTATCCGCAGGCTCGAGCCCGAGCTACCGCTAGGTTGCCTGACATGCCTGCCAGCATCACTTTCAAAACTCGCTTCGTACAGTAGAAGGCTTCCGGGACTGTACTGTCAATTCTCCGCCCCTCAACAACTAAAACCAAAAACTGTGGTTGGCCCACAGAGCACCGATGAGCACGGAATTGAGGAGCTAAAACACACAGCTCTGCACCGCAACTCGCTCTCACTTATGAGACGCTGAAGATCCTGAGGGTCCAGAACTTCCTCCCCAAAAGCTGGTTTCGGCTGCGCCGACACACTCAAAACTGCGAGCTGGAGTTCATGCGAGGTGCGAGCTTGAGTTCTCCCCCGTCAACACAGGAGCCCGGGCTGTGAGTGTCTCCTACTTACCCGCTACGCGCCTCTTTCTCAAGTTCACTGCCGATTGTTTTCATTTCCCCAAATCTCTCTTTCTCAAGTTCAAAACTAGTCGTCATTTTTCCAACCGCAGTTTTCCCGTGTATTACTTCTTTGGCGATATTTGAATGTCAGCCCTCTAGCTCCCGCTTGTTCCAACCTTTGTTCTCGCTTCAAGGCGGTGAGTGGCTGCGCTAAGCTCTTTGGCCGACATGGTGTGCTGCATTGTTAAGGCATTTCCCCCAATGTCCACTGGACCTTCTTTTGCTCCTGCTGCTACTGCTACTACTACCTCTGATGCTACTGCCACCGCAACTGCTACGACGACGACTACGATTACGACTACCACTACTCCGACTCCTACTTCTACTCCTACTGCTACAGCTACTGCTCCTGCTGCTGATGCTACTCCTACTGCGATTACTACTGCTTCGGCAGCTGCTGCTGCCGCTGCTACTGCTGCTACTATGGCCGCTGTTGCTGTGCCTGCTCCTGCTACTGCAGCTACCAGCACGACCTCCCGCCCCACCGCGGCACATACAAATGCCCGCTGCTGTTTTGGATGCCTTGCAAGCGGGCCCAATCCACACAGGGCACAGGGAGGCGCTTTGCGCAGGACCAATTGCTCTCCGAGCAGATCGGGATATAAAACACGATCAAGGCTCCTGGCCCTGACATGGCTGTTGATCAAGATAAGAGGTCCCCTCTCAGGCCTTTATCGCCTGAAGCGTACTTCTTGGGGAGTCGTTGTTGAAAGCCCCCAGTAAGGAACAAGAACTGCTGAAGGAAAGGCTTACTCCAAGCAATCGCCCTGGCGGCGAAGACCCCTGTCTCGATCAACAGCATCGAGATCAGTGTGAAAACAGAACGGGTTCTAAGGGCAGTTCGAAGTTAGTGCTCCCTAAAACACAGATGATCTCAGATGTCAGCTTTCAGGCCCCATGAAAGCAGGACTTTCCTTCAAGAAGCCGAACGGGAGCCAAGATGGAGTTCACTTCATGAACTGCCTGTGAGATCTTTCTTCGAAAGAGCGGGTCAGTGTGCTTGGCATCGAGCATCTGGCACAGTGAGCCGCTGCGGCTAGTTTTACAGGTCTCTTTTTGAGGGCCAGCGATGGCTTGTTGAGGCGCTAAACCCTAAACCCTAAACCCTAAACCCTAAACCCTAAACCCCAAACCCCAAACCCTAAACCCTAGCAGTTCCATGAACTCCTCAAGAATCCCCAGCGGGAGCCGGCCGCCTCGAAGGCTTCAGGCTTCCAAGGCGCGGACAGATACCTCAACCCTAAACCCTAAACCCTGAACCCTAAACCATGATCCCATATATGTTTCATGATCTCATGTTACACTGTACTATGCTACAATCTACATATTATGCTCGGTTGCTTGTAGGTTCCGGTGCCTTGTACATTCTGACTGACTGTAAAGACACCTGCATTGCAGGGGTGGGCCCATGCTTCAGATAATATTTACTCTCTAACAACAGCGATACGAATAATAATGGCAAGAAGAAGAAGAATCCTAGCAGCAATAAGAATAGTAATAATGCCAAAGCAATAAGAGCAATAGTAATCATGATAATGATACCAAAGCAATAGCAATCACAAATAGATTTTCAGGTGGTCCCCCTTTTCTTGTGCCCCATACCGACCTTCGGAGACCGGGCCTCGTGATTGTCGAACTACGTCCGGGCCCTGTAGTCGCTCCTTGGCAACTCTCCCACTCTGGGGTATCGGTGTCTGAGGGACTGTACGATCTCTGTAGATGTACACTACATTCTAGTGTACAAAAATTTACGATAATATGTTGTTCTATAGGAGTTTGGATCCCACGAGACGTGCAATGAGGCAACACGTGCCTGTCCGCAGAGCCTGAGCTAACAACCCTGGAAACCTGGAAGAGAAAAGAGCACACAGAGCTGAAGACGGAGAGCTTCCTTACGGAGAGCTTCCTTCACGAGCTTTTTCCTTATAAATGAATAAGCACCATTGAAAAAGGCCTGAAAAAGCTCCCCAAAAAGCCCAAGGGTCGGTCTCACAGAGACGTTCCCCAAGCTCTCGGAGAGCTGCTGCACCTTTCTACGCGCGCAGGCACACCCCAACCTCGTCCCAACCTCGTCCCAACCTGGTGAAGCCGGGAAAATCACACCTCAACCCCTTTCGTGAGGCGCAGTGCAGTGCAATGGAAGTGACCATGTGTTCACCCTCTCCCGGCCGTTCTCTACGTGCATCCTTGAGCATTTCATATCTGGAGAGCTTACAGTCTTAGAGCTTCGGAGGTCTCCAACTGCTGCAAGGGCAAACAGCTGCCCTGTGTCAGGCCCTGCTGCGCACTGAATCGAGGCTGAAGCTGCCAAGGGGGCGCCATGAGACCAAGCCGGCCGACGTTTTTGCTTAGCTGCGCCAGATCAATACCCTTGGCCTCGGGCAGCGAACAACACTTGGACCACGTCACACGAGTCACACTTCCACCAGAGAACCGATTCAATATCGAATGATGCAACAACTGGTAAAGGGCGTAAAGTTCCTTGGCACTGCCCTGATGCTGCCAACATCCAGCCCATCAAATCTGAAATCGAAGATTGCTCTAAAGCCGGAAGCCAAGTAAATACCCAGTCCCAGACTGAGCACAGACCCCCCTGTGAGCTGAGATCCCCACGGGGCCCTTCATCGCCAGCACGCCTTGTGCAAACCTTTCGGAGTCATGGGGAGATCCTAGCCAGAAGATGAACTTACATGACATGCTGCCATGCTTCTGGATGCCCTCAGCACTGCATTTCGATGCGCATCGATAAAAAATAGCTTCAGTCAGGACGCTTCTGCGCATCAACCCGGCCATCTCCGTCATCCAACAAATCGTAGAATACCCTGCAAGAGGCTGGACGAAAGGATTTGGCTTTGGCTTCGGGCTCGGGTGTCCTGGAGTTGGTCTCCGAGTCTCCGAGGTCTCAAAGGCACAGAAAGGGGAGAGGATAGTCGGGTCAAGGGTTCGGGCCAGGGCGTTATTGTTTCATGGGTGGCAGTTGGGAAGGGGAAGCCGCTGATGCGCTGAGGGTGAGCGTGCACGCACACCTGCAACAGTCTAACAACAACACGCTCTTATTGTTTATGCTTCTTGTTTTTCTTTTACATATTTTTCTGTCTTCTCTCTTGTTACTTTCTTCTATTCTCTCTCCTCTCTCCTCTCTCCTCTCTCCTCTCTCCTCTCTCCTCTCTCCTCTCTCCTCTCTCCTCTCTCCTCTCTCCTCTCTCGTCTCTCTCTCCTCTCTCCTCTCTCCTCTCTCCTCTCCTCTCCTCTCCTCTCTCTCCTCTCTCCTCTCTCCTCTCTCTCTCTCTCCTCTCTCCTCTCTCCTCTCTCCTCTCTCTCCCTCTCTCTCTCTCTCTCTCTCCTCTCTCCTCTCTCCTCTCTCCTCTCTCCTCTCTCCTCTCTCCTCGCTCCTCTCTCGCTCTCTCGCTCTCTCGCTCTCTCGCTCTCTCGCTCTCTCGCTCTCTCATCGCTCTCTCGCTCTCTCATCGCTCTCTCGCTCTCTCATCGCTCCTCTCTCCTCTCTCGCTTTCTCGCTCTCTCGCTCTCTGACTCTCTCTCACGTCTCTTCTTTTTCTTCTCCCTCTTTTCTTTCTCTTTTCTCTCTCGTCTCTCTCTGGGGTTTCTTTTTTCTCTCTCTTCTCTCTCTTGTCTTTCTCTCGTCCCCGTCTCGCAGGCCACCTCCCTGCTGGCCGCGCCGTCTCACCCCTTCTTTGCAAGGGCCCCCGGCGCCGCCCCTCGTCTCGCGGATCCCTGAGGCAACCCTCGTCCCAGCGCCGCATCCTCGCCGGCGCCGCGCCCCGTCTCGCGTACCCCTTCCCTGCAAGGAACCCCCGTCCCTGTCTGAGGGTGTCCGTGAGACAGAGTTTCGCGAGACAGGGGCGCACCCCGCTCGGGACCCCTAGCTTCCCTGCAAGAAACCCCACGCCCTTGCGGAGCCCCTTCCCTGCAAATCACCCGACCCCTTGATTGCAGGAACCCCCCGTTCTGCCGGCGCCGCCCCCCGCCCCATGCAAATAACCATGCCACCACGGGGGCCGCACCCTGAAGCAACCCCCGACCCCCCCCCCCCCCCCGGTATCGCGACCCGCACGTTCGAAGACCTAAAGGAGAAACCAGACCCTGAGGGGCGGTTTTTGGGAACAAAGAGAGAAGCAGGCCAGCCTGCGAGCTCAATGTCCTCGCACATATTGTTGAGAAGCCCGGGTAAGAATCGAAAGGGTCGAAGCTTTGCGAATCGGATTCGTAGGAGTAGCTGCGTTAAAAGCTGTCCACTGCGTGGGCCTTTGGCAGTCATGCTCTGTGTATCGCATGTCTATTTCTCAAGAGCACATGTGCGCCCCCCAGCCCCCGTGTCATCTGTTTGCAACACTTTCTCTCCGGCAACATCGTGAAACTCCTAGGACAGCCAATTGCAACTTGCCATTTGCAGCAAAGCAATATGAGCAGGAGAATGTGGCAGCGACGTGCCCCTGCTGGTGGACACAGTTGAAGACTTGAAATGTTCTCTGAGAACAGAGAGGAGAAAGAGAGAGAGAGAGAGAGAGAGCCCCGAACGGAGCGAGCGAGTTGAGACTCTCAAAGGCGAAGAGCCCATCTCCATCCCCCGAATCGGGTCTTGAATGGCCCGACTGACACAACTGAACTGAACACTAGAGCTGCTAACTCTCGCCGTAACCAGCGCATTCGCTCAGATCTGACACCTCCGCTACTTCAACCCTTCTTCCATTCTCTGTGAGAGCAAAAAGTGCGTTTTTAGGGCTCCCTGGTGCAAAAAAAACCCTCCCGAACGAATCTCGGCCTGAGGTCCTGGGCGTCGATCCTTGCAAGGCTTTCCAGTGTGTTATCTTTGCCGATGTTGCAGGAAGCAACTTAGTGTATGTGTTTCTGTAGGTATGGTGTGTGTGTGTGTGTGTATTCCTTCGTTCATCCATCATGTGATGTTTTGTGCACTTGCCCGTCTGACTTCTCTCATGGCTTTCCCAAGTCCTGCGGGGCCTGACTCTCTTTGGGGGCCAGGAATCGGCACTAAAATCAGCTTCAACTGCTCAGCACCGGCATAAAGTACGTCTCCAGAACTCGCCCACATGAAGGACGCTTCAGCGCCGAGCATCTCGATCATGGAAAGGAGCGCGCCGGTCCGAGGATCCTTGAGATGGCCATCGAACTCCTCCCAGGTCCTGAGAAGGGCGTGCCACGTTAACAAGCAGAGCATTTTATGCAAAGGGCTCAACTCTAATGACGACTCTAATGGGGCTGGTGGCCCAGGGCCATTTTTGGCAGGGCATTGAAGACAGGGTTCAACTGGCACTGGAGAAAAGGCAACCAGATCTGCCCTCAAAGACATGGAACACACAGAAGACCAAGCGACACGATGCCATCTCCAGAAGTGTCGAGCTCCTCGCCCCGCGGAAAAGCTTGGGGTCTTAGCACGAAGACACCCTTGCAAGACATGCCTCATGGCCAGGCTGCTAACCCTCCTTGAGCGATCGCAGGCATGGCTTAAACGATAGAAGAGTTCTCAGGAAGCTAACCAACAGCCTTAGCAGAGCCTTAGCAGCCTTGGGCCTTGGCTGTGGATGGCACCGCCACAAGATAAGACACGCGTAACTTAACCTCTTGAAGGAAACTCCTCGAAGATGTAGCGCAGCTTTCGCTCGAAGGTCTTGGCGGCATACTGCTTCTGCTTGAGCTGCAGCTCCTTGTCGTCCTTGCAAGCCAGAGGAGTGCACAGAGACTAACCGCCCCCTTAAAACTGAGGTCCCCTCCGAAACGTCACATCATTCTCTTGTTTTCTGCCACCTTAACTCGCAGCATCCCCCTGCCTGGGCCACCTGCATGGTGCGCTGGATGAACACGGCCTGCTTTGTTGCAAGAGGCCCCATATGTCAGCTCTAAGGCGTGAGTTTTATCTTCAGAAGAGGGGGTGTTTTTGGGTTTTTTGGTGCCATTGAAGGGGCGATGGCACTGAGATAGCACACACTTAGATTCAGGTCAGCCGGTGTCGCAGCGCATGTTAAGTGGTGCTAAGTTCTGAGATTCTGAGAGTCGTGTTTGGGTGCGGGCGAATCGGCCAGGGAAGCTTTAACTTGGTAAGGACGGTCGAGACTTGAGAGACACTTGAGACACTTCAGAGCACACCGTGGAGATCTGGCAAGGAGTGAGCAGAGAACAGTGCAGAGCACGGTGATCAGCATAGCGGCATAGCGCCAAGCTCAAGCGACGACATCCCGGAATTCGACTCACATGACCGGACTCAAAGTCACGTGACGACATCCCGCAACTCGACTCACAAGAGCAGCGAAGAGCAGCCAGAGCTCGTGACTCAATGAGTCTGCATCCTGCGAAACCATAACGTGGTAACACGCCGACCAAGATCTCAGTAGTTGGGGTGTGATATTGATATCAATGCGATATCAGTGTGGTAGCAGTGCAGCTTTAGGCGTCGGCATGGAGACCCACCTGAATGACGTTCAAGACGGCAAAGCCAACCAAACACCGGTACCTGGAAGATTTTTGATCCGCACGATCCGCACGCTTTGCCCTAAAATCTTACAAGGAATTAGGACTAAGATGTTGAGGTGACAGGCGGATCAGACAGGCTCAAGGTCAAGGTCGAGCTGCTCTCCAGCAAAAGCCGGTACCGAACTTCCAAAAACCGTATGTTTCGTTTGTGTTTTTCTGATTTTCTTAGCCTAACGCGACCCAATTTGCAGCGCCAACTTGAATCATACGACGATGGGTCCGTTTGACGACCATGGATTTGTCCATTGTCGGTCTCCTGGACATAAGCGATTTCAACTTGCCAGCGCTGACAACTATGTTGCCAATCACCAAAAAATTGTTTGTGTGACAAATATACATACATACAGTATACACATACCGATGTCCGTACATAGAGAGGTGCATGTGCCTGTTGCATGCATGGATGCATGCATGCGTGGATGGATGGATGCACCGATGGATGGATGCACGTGGATGGATGGACGGATGGATGTGGATTCATTTACTTGCGTAGGCAGGTGTGCATGTATGCATGTCAATGTATGTAGGGCGTTGACTACACCCGTGTCTGAAATCCATGCCAGCGTTGTCTAGGTCAGCATAGAAAGACGTCACAAGGACGCGAAGGTGTCTGACCCAATCTTTATATCCAAGTTGTCCATACTGATGCTAATCTCTGGAAGACTCGGATGGGCTGTGTTGTTGCACAACAAGACACATGACCAAATCCTCACTTCAACGCTACCTTTTCCATTCTGAAGTCTGGTCAACAAGCCCCCATCCGCCAGGTCACAAGATAAAGACAGCGGAGAAGTACTCGCTCCTGGTCTTACTTCAGCAATAGCAGAACTGTCGTCAGCTGTGCTCTGGGCAAGAGTGATTGTACGATTCATGCACCGGTACGAAGCTCTGTGGAGAGAACCCGATAAGCACAAGGGCCGAATCCGGTCACAACAGCATCACTTCTTCGACAGCTGGGTCCAACTACGTCAGCGCTTCACCGGACCACCCTGCAGACGGGTCCACAACCAAAGCCAAGCCGCAAATGCTCCACCAGTATGCGACAAGGCGTTATCCAGTTAGCGAAGAGGACCTAGCATGCGCGAATGTTGGCATGGACATGCATGGACTCCTTTGGGATGAGAGGAAGCTTTGGCGCCTAAGCCGGACACGACTGCAGTGCCACAAAGCGGTGTACCACCTTATAACTCTCACTTTCGGGAAGATGGATCAAGGCAAGCGGGGCGAAACTGCTGCTGCAATGGACCCTTCAAACCGTCGAGCTCCTCACCCTGAACACATACACGATGCCAAGACGACACCAAGCAAGGAATACATTCCCACGCAATCCCCAGAATGAACAGGCCCAGGGTAACGGTCAGAATGCTCCGGCCTCGAACATGGTGAGCATGGAGCGCGAGAAGGTGCCAAAGTAAGCGAACACTAACAACCTGCCAGGGACACGGGGCGAGCTGACAACAGGAAGATCTTCTCATCCAAGACAGATTGCACGCATGAACTCTAAGTGCTCAACCCACGGTACTACGGTACCCAACAGCAACCTGGGATTCCTGGGACCCCTGACACCCTGCATCACCGAAAAGCTGCCTGTTCTCCTGCGAAAGGGCGTTGGGGTTGCGGATGTGTGTTTGAACTGTGTACATGATGACGATGGCACCAATGCACCTTAGCTCCGGTTTGAGAGGTTGCCTTCGCCATTTCCGCCAGAATCTACGGACTTGAGGACTGCTGAGGCGTGGGGGATTTGTGGAACTTGCGGCTTAGGCTTCACTGCTCGCGAATATAGAAGGCCGTTGGCTTGACTTCGAGTGCTTCCCACGTGCCAATGCATAGCTTCAAGATTCACGGCTCCTGGCGGCGCTCATACGGGAGCCCTACACAATAGACCGCTCTAACATTGCACCCGAACGCTGCAGAGCAGGATCCTTTATCAGAGCACCTTAAGAACCAACAATCAAGCAAGAAAGGTGAACAAACAACAGCCGAGGCACTGGATGACCAAGAGGACGCACAAGGACCAGAATAAAGTACCCACGCTGGCACGGAGGCACTTCCTTGGAGTCTGTAAAGCATGTGTGATTCATGTGGGGTCCACTCGTAGGGCGTCCAGGGGCCCAGTGCATGAAGCCATGAAGCTTCACTACATTCGGGTCTTTCTGTCATTCCCGCGCTCCAAGTTTAGCGTCTGAACACTTCTGTTGCAACCAATCCTTGGACAAGAACGCAGGGAAAGACGTCCCTGAACAAGTACAAGTACTTCCTAGCAAACCTCCTGGGCAAGCCCCTAAGACCAGCCCGGCGGCATGATCATGTTCAGCGAGTCAAGCACACTCGAAACCTGCGGCGAAGAAGCGAAACTTGAAACCCGCAGCTGGCCGGCAAAAAAGAAACACCCAGATTGTGATGGTGAGACGTTCCTCCCTCAGGCCGGAATGATTTGGGACTTCTCACAATGAGAGTCGTAAGGAAGCCACAGGTTCTGGCAGGCTCCCAGCCCAATAACTTCTGGCTTCCAGGCTCCCCCCGGGCGTCGAGGTTTCCTATTCGCCTCGGCTTCCGCGAAGCGTCTTTTAATTCGAACAGGCAGACCGGGATCTGATCTCCTTCCCCCCCCAAGTTCCCCTTTTCCCCTGACACCTTTAAAACCACCCCCCACCCCCCCTAAGAACCTCTGTGGCCCAGCTTGAAACCATGGGTTTCACCGGAGGGGCCTTCTTGGGTTCACGACTTAAAACCTCTCCCAGGACTGCTGCGAACGCTACACTGCTACACTCGCCCCCGCGTTCGGCCAGCCCGGCGAGGCGGCACGCGCAAGCGCTTACAATTATAGGGAATTATATGAAATTAAGTGAATTGATGTGAAATGATGTCAAATGATATGAGGTTCTATGGTTCTGCTGATGTTCCACCCCTGACAGCGCCAAGTATGAGGGCATCGGAAGCCAAAAATGCTCTGGCCTTTAAAATTCGGATGCTCCGAGTCAGCTTCGTGAGGCGCAGCAACCGAAGGACCTGAGAAGGCAGGCGTCTTCGGAGGGTTGCGAAGTGCAACGACCGGCGGCATCCGCACAATGGGATTGGTCCATGAGGCAGGGACACTTGTGTTGAACATCCCGGGCGTGATAAGGTCGACAACACCTCAGAGCCAAGGCCCTATCCAGAATCCAGAAGGGCATATGAAGTAGGGTTTATATTTCTTGTACCTCCAAAAGGACACCCGTATACACTCACCGATATTAAAAAGGAACCTCATATACACTCACCAATAACAGCAATATATACCCTGCTTCATATGAACGGAGCAGGACATGCCGCGAAGCCTGATCGGCCTAAACTGGATCCACGTCTGATCTCGGCAGTGTCAAAGCCACCAATACAGCATGGGATTGTGTCATTACACATTGAAGTCCAACCGTCCTTGAAGTGCGGTCTGGGATGTGAACTTCAACCCCAAACCCGAATTTGAGACCCACTAACATCCGAAACTGCAAACCTGCAGCGCAAGCACTCGACAGGACCACGACAAGGTCCAGCCAGTTGAACCAATCGTAGAAGAACGTCTTCCCTCGCGAGAGATGTGAGCTGCAGGCGGGGCACTGCATTCAGCTTGAACCGCCGCTTTCACTTAAGACTTAGGCGACTTAGGCTTCAGCTCCATGTGCCGTTGCCAGGGGCCCCTACGGCCCCTACCCCTAGGGTTCGGTATGTTCGGTGGGTTCTGGGGCCGCCACAGAAAAGAGATCCTCTGATCACGACATCGGCCAAGAAGAGGGACCTGACTGAACTTCGAGGCCAAGCACTTATAAGGCCTCAAGATGCTCTCAGACTTCGGAACCGAGTGTGGTCAAGCCAGAGGCGCGTGAAGGTCACCTGCAGCACATCGAAGGCAGTTGCGATCCCAGGCCAGAGCTCATCTGCCGAAGCGCTGTAGCCTGCTTGTTTTTTTTGCAGCTCTCCGCGGCACTGGCAGAAGTGTTTTCTCGTCTGACAGGACGAAATCTGACGAATTGCATCTCTCTCTCTCTCTCTCTTGCCTCCACTAAGTACGAGAGCTTGAAGAGACCCCTTGCTATGTCACAACTCATCATCTGTTCCAACTCCCGGAAATGTTAGGTGTTGGAAGTCGAGGCTGCGGAGAGGTCAAGCAACCCTAAACGAACAAAGGAGCAATCAACACATCGAATGAAATCGCGCAAGGTCCACCCTTGTCCAAACCTGAGGGAAGCAGGGCACCACCCAGCCCATCAAGGCTGCTTAGTGACCGGGAAAGCCGATCGAGTGAGCAAGCTGAAAACCTTCGTACCTCAGTCCGGGATCTTTTAAGCATAAGCATATGCACGACTGTCGCCTCGCCCTGCCAAACTTTACGAGGGGTGAATGGGGTGAATCGGTGTTCCTGTTCTGCTCTGAGCTTCTCTATGAAAGTCTGCGAAGCATCGTCCTCCAAGAGATGCGTGTTTTTGGTCTAAAGTCTCTTAAGGATGTTCAGAGCACAGGAAGGGGCTTAAGTAGGCACAAGAGGTGCAAACCTCATGATATGCAGCCAGGTCACTGGAACTGAAGACCAATCAGCAAAGCATTCACAAAAATCAGAAGCGTGACGGCAAGCCTAGGTGTCTGGGTCAAGATGAGGACAAGAATAAGTTCCAAGACAGTCTGCACGTTCGCCACGATGCCCCTTGGACCCCATTGTGTTTCGAGAGATAGCAAAAACTCCACACCGCAGTCTGACTGGGGTCGGGGGATGGCCAGGGGAAAGAGCTCAAACTGCTCAAGCTGCTCAAGCCAAACCGTTTCCAGACCCTCGCGGCCAGATCAGCTTGAGGTGTTGCTGCTACACGTAAACATGTCCAATTGCATCGGCATAGGTTCGCGAAGCTGGGCCAGAATCCCCCACTGGAAGCAGCGACAGCATGCCGCCACAAACATCTCAAGTCTTCGCTTTAGTTGCTGGTTACTGCTGGTTACTGCTGGTTGCTCGGAGCCCTAAAGTCGCACTCAGGAGAACTCCCAGGAGAACTGTACCACAAATCATGGGAGGCCTTACCGAGGCCCAAGGCCTTACATGGCCGGGTAGCTCGTACTGCGGGGCAGCAAAGATTCGTCGCAAACGGCCACAGCACGAGTGGTCCTCCTCGCAAAGGCGCAAAGGCGAGTGCCGCTGCAGCCGCCGAAGCTACATTGCTACATGATGGCTACATGATGGCTACATGATGGCTACATGATGGCTACATTGCTACATGTCCAAAAGCACACGCAGACCGCAGGCAGACTTGGGTTCGCGGACCCGTGGTGCGCATTTCACGACGTGCAACATTGTGCAAGCAACATTGTGCAAAGAGGACAAGAGTCTCTCGTGCCTTTCGTGTTCTGAGGAGACCTGCGCGTTGCATTGCACGAGAAGCCGACGATCTGCCCACAACAACATACCAACCTTAACCCTTCCTGGTGGAAGTCAACTTAATAGAAAGCTCTCACGTTTTTGTGTAACTAAGGCTCTCAGACATTAAGACTCTCCCTGTTCACAGCATCCTCGGGGGGCTCGTAGGGCGTCCCCTCCATCATCGAGCCCAGCTCCATCTGCAACTCCTCTCATCCACATGTCCATTTGAAACCATGATTCCTGCAGTTTAGGGTACGATAGGGTGTAGATTCGTCGTAGGCTCTGCAGGATTCTGTCCATCAGCAGTCGTGGCAGGACTGCTAGGTCTGTCGCTGACACTGATGCTGAAGACTTCGAAGACTGGCAACTTTAGTAATGCCCATGAAGATCACCACGGCAGAGACCAGACAGTGACAAAGCCAGCGAATGGACTTAGCATAGCGACAACAAGGTTGAACCTTGCACTGGAGGGGGCAACCAATAGCACGAGTAGCCAGTATCTCCCAGTAATTCAGTACAAGGTTGAACTACCACTGCCACACCAACAAGAACACAACATGGGTAGAAGACCGACAGCAGCTGCCATAATGGCAATTGAGCACAACAATTTGGGCATGGCAGAAAGAACACGCACAATCAGCCTGATAAAGCACCTGATAACCTGGCAGCCCAAACACAACAACACTGGTGGTGCTCACGATGCACACCGAACGGCCGTTCCAATGTTTTGTCGCAGTCCCTCGAACACCGCCAGCACATATTGCCAATACGGACAGCAACAAACAAGACTTGCAATGACAAGAGGACTAGGAGCTTGGCATTCAGGAGGCATCGGGGCTACAACGCGTGAGATTGAGAAGCACGTGCCGGCTGGGGACTTAAAGTCTTTCACCGACACCCTTGGATTCCCTTACTCCAAAAACCGCACATAAAGCCTGCCCCAAATCCCTTAAGCCCTTGTCTGTGGCACTCAGATTCCTGCAGACCCCCTAAACCCTAAACCCTAAACCCTAAACCCTAAAACCTAAACCCTAAACCCTAAACCCTAAACCCTAAACCCTAAACCCTAAACCCTTCCACACCTCATTCCACTAAAGGTGTCCACTAAACTGCCCTTCTCTTCTCCTCAGCTGCCTGGGTCAGCGCCTTCTCATCTGGCTCCACCGGCTCCACCCGGCTCTCACGCGTTGCCTGTACCTTCAGAGAGAAAGATCCGGCTCATGAGAGCACTCTACTAACTCTGCTAGGGTTTAGGGTTTAGGGTTTAGGGTTTAGGGTTTAGGGTTTAGGGTTTAGGGTTTAGGGAACACTCAGAGAGAGGACGAGAAAACGAGCACCTGTCGTCTCCTCGGGTACTCATCGCAGTCGTCATTATGAACTCATTCTACCAAAGTAGCATGTGTAGGGGAGGTCTGAGGCTACTGTTGTGGACACTCAAAGAGTAGCAAAAACTGAAAGGCCCCGCGTCTCCTCCACGTCCTCGCCGGACAGGGGAGCCAAACAGCTCGAAACGGAGATGTTCTTCCCCTTAGAAAAGCTCTTTTAAAGTGCTCTTGAAGTCTTAGAGACGGTGACTTAAGGTCGAAGTTGGAAGAGGTGGTCCGACTCGGAATGCGAGATGGAATGCGAGAGAGAGAGAGAGAGAGAGCACATCTCTGCAGACGATTCTTTGCACGGGACCACTCTGAGTTTCCTGCGTTGCTTTGCCTTGCTCTGCGCTGCTTTGCGTTGCTTTGTACGTCCTTGTACTCCAAACACAGTAACCAACTTTTCGCGCAAAGCCGCTATGTGCCGTTGCGAAGTTCGCGGCGACTGTCGTGGTGTCGATGGCTTCGGCGACATGTCGGGCACCGGAACCTCAGCTGTTGCGCATCAGGGCCGCAAACATGGCTAGCCCAATGCCTGAACATCCCGAGTGGGAAAAAGCAGCTGACTCAGGACTGAAAGACTGCTTTCCAAATGAACGGGCCCTGGCCCTGGCCCTACCCCGACATCACCGCTTTTGGCTTTCACAAGCTGCCCCTGCATGCAACTCCGTGCCTTTTTGCTGCTCTGTTTTTTCTTCTCTTCCGGAAGCCTGAGAGCAAAAAGCACTAAGCCATAGCCCGCTGAACCACAGGACCATCCCAGATGCTCTGGGGGAGAGGTGGTCCTTCACAGCAGCCTCTGGCAAAACCTGCGGATCGCTGCAAGGAGCTTGGAACAAGTTCTAGAACTGCGATGACTATGACGCAAACCTCGAGATGGTGAACAACGTGAAAAAACAAGGGGTTCCTACTCTTCAGCCTCGACTCCCGTCAGCTCCCCCGAAGCACAGAGCCCCTTCAACCCTTCGACCCCCAGCCTCGTCGTCTTCCGGCTGGCGACTCTGTCGCTGCTGGTAAAGCAGAAGCTCCTGTGCTTAGGCTCAGCACAGGAAATGCGGAATATTGGAAGGACAGGCAAGCATAAAGCGAGGTCTTGCGAAATACATGGCTTGTTTATCCGACGTCGCTTCTCAGGATCTCGTCAGCTCTCAAGGGCCATGGCAGTGCAAAAAAAGTCCGGTTCGAGGTCTCACTTTGATGGCCTTTTTTGATGGCCTTTGAAATTGGGGGCTCCAATGGGTCCATCGCGTGCTTCAGCTCGGCGAGCTCGTTCAGATGCGTGGACACCAGCTTTTCCATCAAGTGCCTCACTGCGCCGTTGGGGGATGCGTTGGGCTTCCGGGCTCCTAGCCTTCTGGCGCAGCCTTATGCCATCTCTCGGCTCAGGGGCTCATGCTTGTGATGTGCGGAGCATTTGGATCAGAGTGTTACATGAACTGAGAAGCAGCTATCATCTGAGGGTCCACCATGGCCTATGGCTGAATTTCCCAGACTCTTGCCCAATTTTTTGGAGCTTAGGTGCCTGAACTCTTCGGAGCAATCATCTGCATCCCGTCTCCTCGCGGATTCGGGCTGTCAAACCAAGTCGTGAAACGCATGAATGGGAGGCACCCGATTTGATGGGTAGGGCACCGAGCGTGAGACTCTCCTGGCCTAACCAATCCTGGTTACTAGTTACATGGATCGCACATCTGCGCGACCTGCATTCCTGGGACAGCAAACTTAAAGAAACCTCTCATAGCTAGCCTCTGGCTCTGCGGCAAACAGAAAAACCTGTCTGACCAATGATGGTCAAGCAGCTCGACAGCTTGCAGCTGCGCGACAGGCTCCACCACCTCCCCACCCTGCAAGGCGGAACCAAGGCGGAACCAGGCGCCAACGAGTACTGAGCTGAGCGGGAAGTGTCCCGTGGGAGCTCAGAGCTGAGGTCTGAACCGTAGACCGACAGAGCAGGCAGGCGGCCATCGAGGGATGTGAGCTAAGAAGAAACTCTGAAAAAAAGACTCGTTGACATCAGGTTGGACAACTAGGCGTGCTGGTTCCTTCGAGTGCGCCGGTGGTAGGATGGTCTTTGCCTGCTTCCTGTCTGAGCCGAACGAATGCAACAAGCTCCTACAAGATGTCCGTGCTGCTGGTGCACAGACCTGCTAAAGCGAGGTGGAGGGTAGTTCAGCAGACCCACCCCTCGCCAACAAAATCAGGAGCTCATCACGACCCTTCTAAAAATCATCGTGTTTCTCCAGTACTGAAAAGGACTGGAATTCAGCCAAGAGAAATGTCATCAGAACATGTCATCAGCTTCCAGTGACTTCTCCTTCTCCAGTGCCTCGACGCAGGTGACATGTTTTTGTTCCATCAGGGGGCCATCATTGTCTTCAAACGTCGCCCATCACGATCAAAGGCAAAGATCTGGCCCTCGTTGCACATCATGGCCTGCAGATCGAATAAACACCGAAAACACAACGAAATTCTGAATATCAGTTCATCAAAACACAAGCAAACTGTGGATGTTTTCAACGTTTCTAGAAGAAAAGAACTCAACTCATCAGCAGTCTGATCAAGGTCTTCGACGTTGACATGGACAAAGCAGCGACACAAAAAACAGCAACAGCAATTCCAAGCACAAAGCTTCGCCAAGTCACGGCCATCTGCGAAGTGTGCCTCAGAGATCTTGGGGATCGCCGCAAGCAGCCACTAAGCAGCCACTGACCCAACTCCCTGGGGTCTGCCGAATGGCTGCGCATGCATCGATGACTTGTGCACCCCGGGGAGGATCCAGGGCAACAGCAGGAAAGGCAGACGCCTTCTGCCGAAAAACTAGAGCACCTTCGTCGAACATCTCCACCTAGACAGAAAGAGATGTGACCATATGTGATGTGTACATTTATGTATATCTGCATATATCTGCCTTTGTTGGAGTCTGCTGTGCACTTGCACGGCGTGCCCACCACGGTAGTATCCCACGTTCAACAAGGGTAAAGCCCCATGTTTTCCTGTTTCCTCACGTCGCCCTCATGCTGCACGTTCTACATTTCCCACCACTTCAACTTTCCAGACACACCCTGTTCCCCCCGAAGAGAAGGCCTTTTCCCGAAGCCGGATGGACATGATTTCCCCTTCGATCAAAAACAGACAACTGACGAACTTGCAGTATGCAATGCGTTTCATTTTGCTCAGGACGCTCGCGCCGACTCGCGCCTTAATACCTACATGTTGGCACCTGCACAGCATAGCACTTGTTTTCGGCTCGGGCTCCTGTTCACATGGTTTTTCAGGCCAAGGCAGCATGAGAACTGACTGTGTGCAAGTGAAAGCCTCCGAACGGTCTATCAGACAAAGGCAGCAAAATGAGAACTGACTGCATGCAAGCCTTTGGCTTTGCCATACAATCAAGCGAAAAACAGTCAAAGCGAGAAAGCATCCTTTAAGGATGTACGAATTCGTGGTTTCAGACTGCAAAATCATCTGAGTTGTCACCGTTTCTATCATGTTGGCACTGATTCAGTTCCATTCCTCTGGCGTTGTGGGCATCGGCGAGGCAGCGAGTTCGAGCCCTTGCCGCGATGGCACCCACTTCCTGCAGCAGCTTTTGCCCATCGAGCCACCCTGCCAAGAGCCCCTTGGATCCCAGCAGCAGCTGCTGCAAGCGGCCGTTGAATCTTTCAATGTCCGCCTCCGCACCGATCTTCAAAAGAATGGCCTGGACGAAGTTTTCAAGCAGAAGTTCAACACCTGGAAACACTTCATCAGAGTTCATCCTTTCAAGCGTCTGATCAACCTGTTCTTTCGCTATCGTGTGCGAACACTGCTCATCTTCGCTGATTCCTTGCGACTCCTTCGACCAGCTAAGCCTGTCAATCTTCTTTCTGATCTTCCATCCGGTCCTAACAAAGAACTATCTTACCAGTATATCCATGCGTACACGTATGGACTGTATACTGTAGACTTATGTTCAAAAAGAGTCGTGATGTTTTGATCAGGCCCCCCCCAACCCTGAGGTTTAGGGTCTAGGGTTTAGTCAGCAGATGGCCTCCTTGTCCTCGGGCCGTGAGGACTCGCAGTTTTCCACCTTCAACGAGCTGAGCTGCCCCGAATGTTCTTCCAACACTGTTGGGGAGTGGAGCATCACGTGCTGATCCATCTGGCTATTGTGGGCCTCTACCAATTCGGCCACGCACCAAGCCCTCGAAAACAAATTGAAGTCCGTGTCTATGGCCACAACTTGCAGGAAACCTTGAGCATAGCGTCGATGCAGGTGCTGCATCATGGAATCAAATTTGTTAAGTTCGCACTCCACTGGGTGGTCATTGAAATACTTCGGCGTACTGCAGTCGCAGAAGGGCAGTACATCTCCAGTGACCGTGTCACGAACACCCATCGAGTTGCCACAAATACTCGCATGTTGGTTGATGCACAGAGCACAGATCCAATACTGGCTGTCCAAACTGCCACTTTCAGCAAGTCTTTCCCTCAACATTTCTACGTCACCGAAGCTCAGATGCTGTGCCACACTGTCCCATCGGGACAAGTGCAAAGCATCTGCCACAACTGCCGCAACAAGGTCGCGGAATCGATTGGCCCAATGATGTGTGACCATCCTTGTCGAACAAACTAAAATAAAAATGGCATAGACGGGTATTCAGATATTCATATGAAAGATGATGAAGATATGCTGACTTTGCGTGGCAAAAAACATACAGTGGATTCCACTTTTGGGCAGTCATCACTAATACTTAGACCTCCGCTGAGCATCCTGGGAGCATAGTCCTTGGTCAAGACATTTTGCATCGGGAAGTACTTTCTGCTTTTGTCTTCGACGCCGTGCCAGGATTCTGCCAGGGCCTCTCCCATGGTCCCATGACGGGATTCAGGGATCACTGCATGACGCACGACATCATTGGTGGTTGACTTCTCCGGATCAAAGTGCGACATCAGTCGAGTTGAGCCCAGCTGGCTGTAGAAACTCAGCAAGTTGCTGACAGAAACTCGGCGGTTCGCAAGCTCCGCAACCTTGATCTCCCAAGCACAAGCATCACACGTCGCATTTGCAGCGGCAGACTTCCATGGCTGGGATGCCTGGCATGAGGTTCTTGCCAGCTGTTGCCCGCATGTACAGTTCGTGTTCACAAGATTCTCTTCTTCGATGGCAACCGCTGCCTTCTTTGGGGAGAATTTGGGCAAAGACAAAGAAGACGCCGAGAGAAGCACTATGCAGAACGCGTTGCCCAACGAATCTGCTAGGCCAGAATACTGGTAGATGCTGGTCACGGCATTGGTTCTAGTCACCCTCTCTAGCCCGAAGAATAGCAAGAAGGTTGCCATGGAAAAACCCGCCACAACGAAACCAAGTTGGGCGACGAAGATCACTCTCATGGCAAACTGGGTCTCTTTCAAGAGCTGTTTCCCCATAGCTTCGTCCTTGCTGTCTACCTTCCTTGAATCTCTCAATGCCTTCAAAGGAAGCAAGTAGGCCCGACAGACGAGCGCTACCAGCACAAGAAGGCACAAGGTGGTGAAAGTGGAGACCACCAGAGTGGTTGGATCTGGCAGGCGTGCTGCAAAAGCCACAAAGGGCATGCAGACTTTCATTAGCACCACAAGGCAGTTGATGACTCTGATGCAAGGCAAGCTCTCTCCAAAGGCTTCTTGAAAAGCATGGAGGCGTGCGATCACTAGCTGAATACACCAAATGTCACCCAAAAAAGACGTGGCAAGCCCGAAGGCCACCGACATCATCGCAATTGTGTTGATACGAAACACTCGATCTCTGACACCATCATTGTCGCGGTCCCCCCCAAGACATGCTGACATGAAAGTATCAATGCAACGTACTCCAGTGCCAAGCCAAAAGTACAACAAGCACCTCACGGATTGCCGAATGTATGTAGACTCTGGATGGTCGGCCACGCACATATACATGGCCAAGACTGCCAAAATCCAGAATGAAACAATCCGGATGATCGTTTGAGGCAAGAAATCCTGAAGTCGCTGCCCATTTTCGTTCGGCATCTCTGGATCAAAATCGTTGCAACCTTCCCCGCCGCCGAAGAAGAGCCATGGAACAGCGGTCAGTAAGATAGTGCTGGACAGGATGAGAAAAATGCAAAGAAGGCGCATTGGCAGAGGGAAGGGGTATGCCTGATCCTTCAAGACGAAGTAGCCCATGACGTAGATCCAGAGAGCCACTGCCAGAGTGCCAAAGTACTCCCCATTGAACGGACTAAAGAAGAGGCCAATGAGCAAAGCAAACGCCACGGCCACGGCCCACCGACATCTACGGCCATGCCACATAGCCACCTGAATGGTTGCCTGCACTGCACGACTCAGAGTTGTCTGCGTCGTCTGTTGAGCCAAGATGCAGTTCATGCGAGCAACTCTTGCGTAAAAGCTGGCTAGTTATTGTGTTTAAGGCCAAGGTCGAACCCTACTTTGACCGCATGATGCCAAATCAAATTGACATTGGCCATGTGACATGAGGAAGATGGGGAAGGATCGGCACAAGGAACAAGCTTGTGGCATGCTGAACCCACCCGTTCTTCCACAGGTTTTTTTGGAAGAGGTGGTCATCTCTGCAACGGCAGGTGGCAAACGGGGAATGAGTGTGGTACCTCCCAGGGCTTCGTGCAGGAGCTTCCTTGCTACTACTTTCGTGAAAAGGTTTCGGAAACTGGAGAAACAGAGAGGCCAAGGAAAGCCATCCCCCCGTTTCCCGCATAGAAGTCGACGATTTTATGGTTTAGGATGTAGAGTTTTGGGCTTATGAGGGTTTAGGGTCTAGGGTGGTTTTAGGAACAATGGTTCCCTCAAACCTGAGACTGCGCTATGCCGTGCGACAAGTCACGCGCTCTTTTTGGGTTGCATAGTTGTGAAAGAGCGCGAGTCAGCAAGTTTTCAAAAAACTGCCTTTTTGCCAGCTACACAGCACTCGCTTTTGCACAGGAGCTCCAATGGCAAACCCTGCTCTCATGCAAATCCCAAGCCCATTGACAACGGAACAGAAAATCATAAAATCGATCTCTATGTTTCGGAAACACGTTTCCATCAAGGGTCCTGAGATGGCAAGCCCAATCCCGTGAGAAATCTCTTGAACTTGAAGCTCTTCATCTTTGACACACACACACACACACAGTTCCACGACAATGACCAGCAGGATTTCTTGAACGGGACGATGCTTGGAAAGATCTTCGGTGGTACCCCTCTGATGTGCTAAACAAACGTCCAAAATCGCAGCCGAGATGGAGATGCATTGCTTACTAAGCCAATAGAAGTATCTGCACGCTAGCAATGTCACGTGTGCAAAGACTTTCGGCAAAGTTGCGTATGGCCTTCTTCAATTGCGAGGGAGAAGACCATATCAACTTTAGAAATACCTAGACAGCAGTCGACCGGCGACATATGACATTGAGCAAAGATGGAGTTTTCCCTCAGCCCACATATGTTTTTAGCAGCTTGACCTGCTGCACGCCGAAGAGCTGCGGTTCAACAGCTGGCTGCATCCCCTGACTGGTGCAGGAGTTGCAGCTGTGTAGGCTCGCTGTTCGCCGCCAGGTCGACAGTTCAAACCATGCGCAATCAGCGGCCGGCGCAGTTTGCAGCCACATAAAAACTACTCTCATAAACCCCACAGGCGCTACACGTTGCAGCGTGAGGTGTGTGGTGACTACTACTACTACTACTACTACTACTACTACTACTACTACTACCACTACTACTACTACTACTACTACTACTACTACTACTACTACTACTACTACTACTACTACTACTACTACTACTACTACTACTACTACTACCACTACTACCACTACTACCACTACTACCACTACTACCACTTAGTATGTATTGTTAGGGATTCTAGGGATGCAGGATGCGCAAACACAACGAGGGTCTGTGGATGGCGTGGATTTGGGACTCAGAAATGTTGTTCATGTCTAGTTTCGATTGTTGGCGGTCTTTTTGCGAACTCATTTCAGCATGTGTTCAAATCGATTGCACGCTTGCAGTTGCCGCGAGAACCGATGGGTGAACAGTGAACATGTGTGAACTTACGTGTGAACACGTGTAGCAACAGAGCTTTGTGAATGATCCATTGCCCCACATTTCAAGTCTTCACACAAATACATGGAAGATGCCATGGTTCCTTCTTCTGGTTGCCATAATTCCATCTCGCGGGCTGGCGCCGATGCGACTGGGAGAGCAATGGCTCGCAGCAAATGTCGGAGCCAACTTAGCTGTCTCGTCACGTGTTGTGTTGTAATGGCCCATGGCATTTCCGACGCACACTGCTTTGTTCGTGAAGGAAGTATAAGGAAGTGTGAATGACTTGAGTGTTACATTCCTTTTTGCTGGTGTTTAGCTGCGTGCATGAGGAGTACACGCGTGATGTTGCAATCGAAGATTGCATGATATCCAATGCTTCCACAGCTGTACAGACATAAGCACCACGGTGCACCTTAGTGGATCATCAACCGATCCCAGCTTCCACGCATGCAAGCCCCTGGATTTATCCTTGCATCGCCACTTTGTCGTCCTGGTCTATGCACGTCTGCTCACTGGTCTCTTCTGGACCTCACATTTCCATCGGAAGCCGCTCTCTCACCGTCATTTCCAGTTCGACGTGGCGGGCCGAATTCCTAGAAAATTGAACAGGGATGTCGGGCTGGTCGGACTGCACAAACACCAGCGAAGCTCGCTGTCCTGCCAAGTACTCCGCGTCTACTTCGATGAAGCTTTTGTCGCGCCACCAGTTTTGCAGCAGGAACCGATCTTGGCCGCTTTCTGGTGCCGACCAGAACCATGGCATGAAGGCCGACTTCCTTGCTGTTGTCTTGGCCGAGGTGCTGGTGGATCTTGGCATCCAGGAACTTCTCGGTGACCATGAAGCCGGACACCAGTGCGGCCCCGAACTCCTTGAGCTTCCTGACGATTCTATCGACAATGGCCAGCCCGACATGGATCTGCAATCGAACCCTTCGAGTCCTGAAGCGTTCGCCAGGATCTGGGCGAGGAACGCCCGGCTTGACCCACCTTCCTCTCTGAAGATGTGGTCCTCCAGCTCCTGAGCCGTCCTGTGCTTGCGGATGTAATCTGCCAGGTCCAGCATCTTGCTTGCGGTGGTCTGCATCGCTACGAGGTAAGCTTGCAGCACAACTGTTCAACTGGGGCGTGCAGCACAGTTCGGAGAGCTGCGCACGCTCCAGCAGCCCGCAGCTTCTACGCCGTCGCGGAACGCCACGATGGGACGAATTATCCTCTGCCACGACGGGAGTGAGTCCAGTAAGTGAAGGAGTTGCTGTCGTCCAGCAAACTCTCGCTTTTTTCGCCTTCCAGGACGAGGCGCTCCAGGCGCTGCAGCGACTGCTCATAGATGTCGTCTGGTAGCAGCAATGCTGCGAGCTTGGCTTTTCTTGCCTCTGATACTTCTTGCCTCAAGACGCCCTTGGCGTAGAGGAACAGCAGCATGATTGCTCGTTTATCGAGCTTCGTCGGCAGGCTTTGCCCATCTGAAACCATTAACTGTGCAGCTGCTTCGATGTCTTCCATGCTGAGGTTCCAATCATCCGCTTTCTCCAGCATGTGCTCCTTAACTACTGCCAGTTGCGCCTTCTCGGCCTCCATCCGCACCCGGTCCTCTCCAAGCGCCTCTCCGCGCGCTTCCAAGCGCCTGTCCGCGCGCTTCCCACGCGGCTGCCCGACGCTCAGCGCGAGCCCCGCAGAGGCCAGCATGGGCGTGGGCATGGCCTTCGACATCGGCTGGCGCTCTGTGCTGCCTGCGCAGCCGTTTACAGCAGTTTGGGCTAGCTGACAGCTTTTTTGCACTTGTTGGTCAGGGATCCTGCACCTGCGCAGCCTGGGCTGTCGAACTGCTTCATCTGCGATCTTCTAGGCTTCCTCGTGTGGCATGGCGTCAGGACGTCTTGTGCGGAGCATCACAATGCTTCGGTCTCAGGTCTTCGCGGTCCATGGTCGACCACGCTCCAAGACGACACCCCACTGCCCATCGTTGCCGGAGCCGGTAGGCCTGATGAGCGTCACACACTGAACGCCAGCAGCTCGAACGCAAGCCCGACGCCTGGAGAGAGATGGCAGCTGCGCGAAGGCAATCGGGCGAGTTTATGAAAGCTTCACAGCGGCTAGCGACACGAACTCAGAAGATCGCAACACTGGCGGAGGAGCAGTCACGACCCAACCTGGCTCCCGAAGCGAAGTCGTGACTAGGACGGCCTGGCCAGAGTGGGCGCGTGGGGAGCTTCCCGGAGACGTGGGGAAGGACAGGCGAGCGCAGCACTGGATATGCAGGGCTTCCGGGTTGAGGGGTGCAACCTATACCTACCAGTCCTACTCCGACCTGGAGCTGTGGAGGTTCCTGCTGACTCAAGCCAACCAAAACAGCAGCCTCGCGAAGTGCGCCACCAGACGACTCCAGCTAAACCTGATGTAAGTGAGGTTGGGCAATGCGGCAGTGTGCCCTTGTTGAAACCTCACACGGTAGTGGTGCATAACATGAGCGGTCCCGAAACAGAGGCGCATGTCGCGAGCTGAGGTTTAGAGGCCGGCTCTGGCCTCACTTGTGATGACAATTTTTCTTGATTCGTGACGTACTCATCTCTTCATTTACACGTTCTCACTCATTTTTGACCACGTTGCTCCTTTGCGACGACAAGCGCGCTCGAGCTCTTGCTGTTTCTAAACAGGGCGAGTGCCTTTAAGGAGTGCTGTGCTACGGCCGAGGCGCTGCTTCTGGTCCGCCAGGGGATCTCCAGCAGCCTTGTCACAAAAGCTGCAGCAAAACCATTCGCCACTCCTCAAACCTAAACTACCAGTCTGGGAAGCGCCTACAGGAGAGTAACCCTAAACCCTAAACCGTAACCGAAATACTCAACATGAGCCGAAACCATGAAGACCGAGGCAAGAAACGGAGGTGCTGCCGCAGCCGCCCATGACCCGCTACCTGGGCCTAAAACAGGCACAGGCTGGGCTGAGAAAATGCTGCAGAAGCTGAAAGAGGCACAGTATGGGGTTTAGGGCTTAAGGTTAGGGTTGTCGTACTAGAGAGCAAGCTGCAATAGTCTGAAGTAACGCAAACTATCGTAGACCCCATCCCTGCAGCCCGACGCTGTTGTGTCTCTACCCCAGTTCAAGGATGCCATGTGCACGCAAAAATGTGCCATTCTCATGCGTGTAGAATACTAGCGAGTCATGATCTAATCTTTGTAGCGCGCCTAAAAGCCTTTAGTCATGAGCACCTGTATGATTGTAATATTAGTAGTATTATGTTGCATTTACTATAATCTAGCGCGCGAATGCAATGAAAAAAGACGCACGCATCAAATAGACAAGTGCTAAGGGCGGTCACTTGCAACATTCGTTCGCGCGTTTAGTAGTCTTATATTGCTTTTATTCATTCATGAGCCAGCAAACAAATGTAAATAAAGGTCCGCGAGGATATAGCATTTGCATGGTCACTTCGCTCCGTTTGCGACTATCTAAGCACAACTGCCTGTTCTTAGTAATCTAATGCACGTAACGGAGCTGTGGCAAAGTTTCCGCTCCGCTGAATGATTCCTACGAGTATCTATATGGTAAGAAAACCACACACAAACACGCAGCTCTCGTGTTTGACGCATGCACCACAAGTTTCAGCATGCCGGGGGAAAGGGCTTCTTGGGCTTATAAGGGATTTAGGACTGAGGACTGCCAGGAAGATCCAGAAAGTAGGCCCCCAAAATTTGGGACTCTGTACTGCTAAAGGGTACTTGATAGGAACCCCCTTACAAGCAATCCACTTTTTGCCCTTAGAGGAACCCTGAGAGTACCTCTCGAGGAGCCCCTAGAGGTCTCCGAAACCTGTGTGCAATTAGGATTCATAGGGCCTCGGCTCCAGAACCTGTAGCGCGTGGAGTTCTCATTAATAAAGGTACACCGAATTTTCCGAACCCCCAAACTCATCTTGGTGCTATGTTCGTGCTTCTACATTTTCGACTCACAGCTCCGAACGGTCGATCGGGCTGGCACCAGGCATTTGCCAATTACGCGAAACACTTGCCGGCGGTCGAAAACTGGCCGTGCGTCCCTTCAGGACTGCATTGAAAAGCACAAACGGCTCACAGCTCAGACCGGCCCAACAAGCTAGTTCTCCATGTTGTCACGGCATCATCTTGATCTTGATCATCGTCACCATCAACAACATCACACCGAGTGTTTCGTCATTGGCAACGACATCGCCATTGTCACAGCTTTCATGATCAGCATTGCCGCCGTCATCATCACGGTCATCGTCGTGACCGCCACCATATTATATAGTGCTGGCAGTGATGGAACCCTAAACCCTAAACCCTAAACCCGAAACCCTAAACCCTAAACCCTGTTATCGAACTAGCTCACTGGAGCAGGTAGCTTATGAGGTCTGAGCTGCTTTGGACATCCCCAAGTCTCAAAAGCAAAGAAGCACAAGGGCGCAGGCAGGATGTGCACCAGAAAGAGAACTCTAAGTTGATGTGACTACTAGAACTGTAAGAATGGAACCTTAAGGAATCATGTTGGCAAGTATTTAGGCCTCTATGCTATATCAAAAGGCTTGCGTGTCCAGTATCCTAGGGGAAGGCAAATTTTAGGGATTGTACACGCATTGTAGTACCCCAAAAGGTTAACGGGTACCCACTCTACTACAAGACGCCTCGCGCCCAGTGCCTCCAGATGTCACGCTTCCGCGTAGTCGACTCGCACATCGGGGATGTGCCGAAGCTTGCTATGGTACTCCTCGAGCTCTGTATCTCGGACCTCGTAGGGATCCCTTAAATCACAGAGGAGCTCGAACCGTTTGAGCTTATGTAGTTTCGCCACGCTGTCGATGATGGCGGAACGACCGCGTTCCGAGATGCGTAGGCTACGGCAGGAGAGCCGTTGATCATAGTTCCCACTGAGATCCAGTCTCCTGAATGGTCTAGGGCTTAGCTTTGACAGGCAGACGCTGTTTGTTCTTGAGTTGTGTATACAGCCAACGGTTAAAATTAAAACATGAACGCTGCAAGCAACAAAAGTCTGCACACAAAGAACAGGCCCAAACCCCAAACTGTCCCAGCGTCAGTTGGCTGACCTGAAGTAGGCAGCAAAGCGACTCGGCAAGAGCATGGCAACTTGCGTCGTCCATTCGCGTCTGGCGCAAGTTGATTTCGAGCTCTGTCACCTGAGGGCTTGGGGCTTGTTGGGACTGGGCCTTCAGAGCAATGTCGCGGCAACGCGATGCGAATCCCTCTTCTGAACGGCAAACAGCCCCACCTCCACCAGATGCCTTAGCCCCTGCAGGAAGGGCTTGGACGGGTCTGTCTCTTGATACATCTCAGCCAAGTCGAGGATGACCGTGCGGATGTGGGCGCCTGTGCTCAAGCTTGCAGGCTCCCGCAACGGTATATGGGGTAAAAGGATCTCTGGCCCGGTCCTACATGAACACAAATGAGAAACTACCATGGAGCAGCTCGGAGGGCTGAAGGGTTCTTTCATAGCAGCCTAAAGGAACTAAGAAACGAGTACTGCCCATTTCGTAGGGTTCAGGGTTTCCATAAATCCTCAACCGGAGTGCTCCATGGAGCACTTGGGAGGGCTCGGGACGAAAGCCCTAAACCATAGTAAACTGGAGCCGAGGAGCTCTTTCCCAGTCCTTGGAGTAAGGCGCTCAAGCACTGAGTTGGCAAAGCTGAGATGTCGCTGGTCTGCCGCTTTCCTTCAAAGCCATGCCTGCATTCTAACTTCAGGGCCCCGAAAATAAATATTGGACACCTCTTTGAGACCAGAACGGATCTGAGCGTCCCCAAAACCATTTATGAATGGAGAGCTCTATAGGACCAGAAGGGGTTCTTCCAAACTCTTGATCAACCCCACGTGGCCACCCAGTTGCATGGTGAGTCGGAGCTTCCGATAGCCCGGGCCCAGGCGCAGCAAGAGCGCCACGACTGCAGCAACACCATGGTCACACAGAAAAAGCGGAGAACCCTGCAGTCTCAGAAGGACTTCCCAGTCAGCTTTGGCTTCAGGGAACTCTTTCTTATTCTGGTCCCGGTCGATCAGGAGTACAGGCCTCATGCACTTTTCAATGCACGTCGTAGCTGGGGCAGTACTTGGAATCTTCAGGGCTACAGGACGTAGGCGAAGGTGACGAAGAGTCAGCGCAGCATCAGGGAAGAGCTCGAGCTCTGGCGTCACTTGAAGTTCTTGAAGCTTCACCCACTCCGTGATCAAGGTCGGCTTCTGTGACTTCTTGGCTGCTCTTTGTGCAGTGCTCCGGAGGTCTTCGTCGAAACTCTCCCAAAAGTTGCTGTGCAGCAGTTGCAAGCTGCAAAGCGACTCTGCGTAGCGGTTTTTGAGAGTTTCTGGGCCTGGGAAATCCGAGGCAGCGAGGGCTTCCTGTAGCAACCACTGGCGCACCTGCCAGGCGATGGAGTTGTGAAGGCGTGTGGCGGCCAAGAGCCGGAGGCCGGGGATCAGAAGGTTCATCGCCAAGGCAAAAGGCTTCGTCACGCCCACAGATAGCAAGAGCAGTGCTTGCGGAGCATCCTCCAGCAGCAAAGCCTTCTGCCTTGAAGGCTCCATCTCCATGTAAGCTGCTTGACAGGCCCGTTCTGAGAGGCTGGGTTGGGGAGCATCTGCTTGCTGCGGCTGTAGAAAGAGAAGGGCCAGGTAGCTCCGATCCAGTCTTTCTCTGCCCGAGGCCCCTGGCCAAAGCCAGTAGAAGTGCAGCATCCAGACGTAGGCAAGGCCCAGGTATCCTCCAAGGACAATGCAAAGGAGAGTCGGACTCCAAAACTGAAACAACGCCAAAACCCCAGTTACTTGGTTCATCTGGACCCCACACGGCATCCATGACCCCGGAATGTTAACATTTATCCAGGTCCTAAGTAGCTGACCCAGTGAATGTCCGACTGCACCACCATGCTCGCAAGCATTGTGTCTTTCACAACGTCGAAGCCATCCCCCATGAAGGGAAAGAGGCTTCGAGACGACAGGGCCACATCCATGGCACTGTAGCTGCAAGAGCTACTGAACCTGATGACCAGCGCCTGTAAGAAGAAGAGGAGCAGGCCCGACGTCCAGAGAAGGTCCCAGGCCTCCCACGCCATGCCGGCCTTGGCACTCAGCTGTCCCCCGTGGCTAGCTGAGAGGGTCAGCTTCGAGCACAGGCTCAGCCAGCACAGCAGGAGCATGGACAAGAGGAGATTCCGGGACCCCTCGGAGATTTCCCAGAAGACGGCTCCATGGCGGACCCCATGCTTCCGGGCCTTGGCGTTTGCAGCGGCCCTCTCAGAGGCCTCCTCCAGGCTGAGTGTCGCTTTGGAGGTGTTCGCCTTGTACTGGGAGGGCCACCCCATGCACAGGAGGGCGGCGCACACCCCGAGCACCACGAAGTACTTCCTGAGGCTCGGTTTTCTAGGCAAGACGTAGCTTAAGTTGCCGCAAAAAGGGAAAACTGTATAGCCTGGAGTGGTCAACTTCTAGCCCAGCTTCAGAAGCATCAGCGAGATCCAGTACTTGGCTCTAGGCACCCAAAGGTTCGACGGAATCTCGGCCATGCTTGGCCAAACTGGCTGTGGCAGCTCAAGCCAGCGTAGGCCATGGGACTTCAGGTGCAGAAAGGGCTGAGTGAAGTTCACCTCGGTTCCCCAGCAGCCACTTCATAGTTCTATTCCATGTTCAATGGAAACGGAAAACCTTAAGGACTACAGCAAAACGAGGAACAGGGTACCATTGGGAGGGCCAGTCACTTCAATGTAAGCTGCTGGGTCTACATCCGGCACTGTCCATCTGCTACAGTTCTCGAGGTTGGAGCTCAGGGCGACTGGCAGCAAAGCCATCACCAGGAGCAGCAGCATTCGTACCTGAGCTCTTCTTGAGGGCCCTCCCCCCCCCCCCCCCCCCACCTTCGGAGAAGTTACCTTCATGAAGAGTGAGGAATAAGCTTACCTAGTTATGGTATCTGTCTGTCATCTTAAACTCCGCTCCTTCTTCCTTAGCAAAGCCCCAGGTGCAAGGTCATCGGGGCGCAGGGAACAGGACTTCGTGGCCAGGGCCACCATGAAGCCACAAAGGAGCGGCAAGCAGAGCACAGCCGGCCAGGTCCGGCAAACCCAACTGGGCCAAGGTGGGCATGTCCATTCATTCCTGTGTTCTTGAGGGCGTTTTCGGAATGAACCTTATAGAAAAGCCCGATGGTAACCCTTGTGGTACCCCTTCAGAACTGCTTTGATAGCGCCTGTAGAGACCCGAAAAGAGCACCGATCAACGCTGAAACATAAACCTTTACCGCCTTTTCCGAAACAAAAGACGAACACAGAGATGCCCACTTACTTGTCCAGTATCCTGGGGGGGGGAACTAAAGGTTAACCTTTGGGATTATATACGCATTATAGTGCCCCAAAAAAGGTTAAGTTGCGACGTGAGACGAGCTGCGCCACCGCGAAACCGAAGACGCTGAATTCTGACAAACTATGCAGGCATGATAGCACCCCAAAAGGTTAAAGGTTCCGACTCCCCCCACCCTAAACTCTAGACCCATATAGGGCATGATACCCCAAAAAGGTTAGAGGTGATCTTTTGAAACCGGACTTGGTGACAAAGAAAGCCCCTGCCGTACTGCGCAGCACGGGGGAAAAACTGAAGCAGCTGCTAACTTTGATCTGAAACCTAAGCCCTAAACCCTAAACTCTACTACTAGGACCACGAGTCCCTTGAGGCGACGTAAGGAGCGCCAAGGCCGCAAAGGCTAAAGCCACCAGACTACCAAGAGTCCTCCCAGTCTCCTGGGGCCAGGAGGGGCGGTCTATAGGGACTTTCAGGATTTGGGGCCTTAATGATTATTAACTTACGGTATAGTAATTATTGGGTATGATACTATGCGATACTATAACCAGAAGGGTGCCTCTGGAGAGATACTGCCAGGTACACAGCTGCAATATGTTGGGCCCTTCGCTCCCGCCGGGTTTAAGTTCAGGCGTTTGGGGTTACGCGGCTTTCGGGGTAGAATTCCCTCAGCCCTCAACCATGAACAGAGCCCATTCAAACATCTCTGAATGCGCTGAGCCAAGCTGCAGAGGTCTCACTGGAGAAGCTGGAGCTCAAAGCAGGCACCAGGAAGGTGAGGAGGAGGAAGAGCTGGTGAGAGCCGGTTGCATGGAGCACTGGTAGGCTGAAGGACCACGTAAGGAGCAGGCCGACGCTTTGAAGCCACATCCTTCAGGGGTTTTTCAGGCTTGGGGTTTCAGGCTTTTGGGGGGCTTTTTAGGGTTTACGAAGTTTACCAGAGCCAGGTCCTCCAGTCGGCCTTCTCCACGGCTCTGGCGTCCGCAGGGAATCCCTTGAACCAGCACCCGATCCCGGGCAGCGCGAAAGCGAGCACCGTCCAGCGCAGCGGCAGGTAAGACAGGAGAGCCAGCAGCCAGGACATGGCCAGCCCACAGTAGCCGCCACTCCGAGCAAGGTCTGTTGCCTCGCAGAGGCGGGACAGGCTTCTTAGTCCCTGGCATCAACGAGCATCTCAACTGATAGCTGGAATCGTAACAATCGCAGTAACACATGGGTGCTTGTCCAAAATAGGGTCTCTCGGAGTCTCTCGTTTGTGCTCCCAAACTATAAGGTGCCGTATCAGGAGTAGAATTATCAGAAACGACCATGATTTTGACAGTTCCCCACATAGTAATGGCGAGACTACATTCCATATCCTAATCTCCGGAAGGCGTCGGCCTGCTCGGTGTCCACGGTGTAGAGGTACATGGCCAGAGCACTGATGAAGGCGCTGAGCATCTGAAGGCCCAGAGCCCACCAGGCCATCCGATCAAAGCTGGGAAGTAGGGCGAGCCAGATCCAAACCAGCACCGGCTTTATGAGAGCCGCAAGATTCTGCACTTTGTGGGCCTGAACTGTGGGATTTTGTAGAGATTGTAGTACCACTGTAAAAAGGGTCAAAGGTTACCTACTCTACAACTAGGATTCTGCACTTTGTGGGCCTGTTTTGTCATCCACAGCCCCAGCAGGATGGCTGGGATTCCTTGTGGGAGATGCCCCAGTCTGCGGCAGCAAAGCCAAAAGCACCAGAAGGCGAGGACGGTGCCGAAGATCAGAGGCAGCGCCCTCTCAGAGACCTAAGCTCTTTTTGGGCAGAGGAACGAACTAAAGCTACCATAGTCGGGATACGCACTCATAGTTGGACGAACCCCTCAGCACGTCTCCGAGTTTTAGGGTTTTAGAGTTCAGGCCTTTTTTTGCATAGGAGCTTAAGCTTCCGTAGGCGGGTACACAAACGTTACTCTCCTTGTGGATATGGAGTACACAAACGTTGCTCTCCTTGCGGCAACTTTAACGTTGAGTTCCTGAACAAGACTAGAGACTGGCTCGGAAGGAAGGGGCACCTCCACGGGCACAGCTGTGGCTACGGAGCCGGGCAGAACTGTGTTCACCGAGCCAGCAGGCTGAATGGTGTGGGCAGAACTGGGAGGCAGAATGGTGACCACGGAGTCTGCGGGCGCGGTCGTAGGGTCGATGCCTCGCCGCGAGTTGGTTAGAACAGACACTACAACAGATGAGCAAGACCCCTACCCTATACCCTCAACCCTACAACTTCAAGGAAGATTGCCCGTTTCAGGGGGTGTTGGGGGCTCTCTGGGCTCTACTCGAAGGGCCCAGGCCTGACATGTTCAAAAGGGAGCTGCTTTCAGTTGAACAAACAGATAGACACAAAAGCCAGGATGGCCCTTAAAACCTCTGAAAAACATGCCTGAATATGCTCCTCTTTAACCCAAGAAGGGAAAATCTGAACTGCCCCAAGGGTCTACTCACTAAGTAAGTACATACTTACATACATGCATAGACAGCGAGCAAGCAAGCAGATGCATTCACTTCTAGAAGGTTTGAGCTGCCCAAACTGGCCAAGCAAGCTTTTTTGGTATTCACAAGTTGCCCCCTAAACCCTAAACTTGCCCTAAACTCTTCTACTGCAACTATATGGGGGGGGCGATAAGGGCACATGATGGCACATTCTGATGCGGCAGTCCTTCGCTCCGAAGCAAGGCCTTGAGCCGCAGGGCCGCCTCCGAAGCCTGTGGACCATCTTCCTGGCGAAAGATATGCTACGATGGTATGTAGCAGGATAGGACGTGTATCATAGTATCGGAATGTCATAATCTCATAATCTCATAATTATCATCGTATCAGAATATCATAATATCACCATAGCGGAACATCATATGGGTGGTTGTCAACATTAGGGTCCCTTTTTGGATCCCTATTATAATACGGCACCTAATCTTTAAGGTACCCCAGAAGGGATCATAGTTTTGACAGCCACCCCATAATATCAGAAGTAGATTAATCGGTAATATCGAATGCCCAAGATACTGGAAATTGTATACGATACTATGGATCTGCATCTGCCTGCGAAAGCAGTTTGTAGGACATCGGACTCCCAGGCGCCAAGCAATGGCAGAATCGCCTGGCGGACATTCGAGCACCCATGCACGCAAACCCGAAGCCTAAACCTTAAACCCTAAACCCCAAACTCCAAACCCTAAACCCTAAAGTTTCTTGGACACCCCGTTGAGAGTGGCTCCTGCATTGAACCCCTAAGCCCCTTCTGAAGCCCGCAAGGTAGTCCAGTCCCCCCACCTTGCAGAGATTCAGGTGAAGGCTATATCAAAAGAAGCACCCGTAGCAAATGCGTGAGTGCACCCACTGGATCCTCGACCCTTAGAAAAGACACGCAAAAAAAACTCTCCTTTTGTAGAACCCTGAGAAAGTACTTCTCGAACCGTTGTAGAACTCTTACAGAACCGTGTAGAATCTTATAAGAATGTGTGGACATGTTCTGACACCAGTTTCAGACCCTCGCCTGCTCCGGCAGTGCCAGGTTTCGCATGGGGATTGCACGCTGCTTCGGGCCAAGATGCTACCGACGACCTGGGCCTTTTTTGGGGAACCTTTTGGAAGTTGGTTTAGGGTTTTATGGTTCAGCATGGGGTTTCGCAGGTCTTCTAGGCGTGGGCGCTGTCTCCGCGCTCAATATAGAGTCTCGGTATCGGGACTTCTTGTGGGCCTTTTTGGGGTTTTGGCAGCGTTTAGGTCTGAGGGTGCCTGCTGGGGCTCAGAAGGCTGATGGCTTTGTATGTTTTGATGGGGGGAAGGGTCACCCCATCGAAAACTGACTGCTACTTTGGGAAGAGCTCGAACGAATGAGGAACAGAACGATGATCAAGACTCACGGCCGCACCTGAAAGAACTGTCTCACTTTCAGCTTGCAAAGTGAGTAAACTGGTGGTTCGAGTTGTCAAGGCAGTTACATTGGTCAGACACCACACATATCCTAAACCGTAAATGTGCACGTCAAGACCAGATGTGGCTTGAGCTTGAATGGAAGGCCTCGTTTTGTGAACCCAGCAGGCCATCGCGTGAAACACTCCGAAGGGTTGGGATGAAGCTCACCTTCACCTCGGGTCTTTGCTTGGGTTGTCTCGCGTTTAGGCTTTAAGCTCTTCCCGCGACTTACATCATATCTCACCCCATCCTTCCATGCGAGCCCTTTTGGCTTTGGCGATTGTGATTTTGGGGTATTCGTTTTAGGCTTCAGGGTTGCAGTCCTGACTCTGGCCTAACATCGAAGCCTTTGCAAGGCCTAAGTCCTCCAGGCGGCCTCCAAACCTCAAGTCTATGGCACCTATGGTCACTATGGTCTATCTTGCAATAAGCACTGACGTGCTGGTAGTACCCCAGATTCGACCCTTCCGGTTGAGGGTCCACAACATGATATACATGATGCGCATGTGGCGCGCATCTAAGCTTCCAGTAATAGACCACGCAAAACCCCTTCTGTCAATCTCTGACTTACTGAGCGGACTGCTGCGAAGGCAGTCCGTGGGTGAGGCGTGCCTGGCAGCCGGAGCGATTCCCTTCTTGAATTGCGACACAAAGGTGCTGGCACACCTGGCCCTGCAATGCCTTTTCCTTCTGCCCAGACACGACCAATGGCCTGGAACAGGCTAACCGCGGCCAACTATCAGGTGGCCTCTCTGAGAATTGCGGGGACGAGGGGGGGGAGGCGGTGGACGAGCTGACGCTTGCCGGAGACCGGGTGGCATGGCAGGTGCGGCAGTGCTGGGAAAGAGGCCTGGTAGCTTTTCTGGGAACTGGGCGCTCCCTAGCCTGGGCTGTGGCCCCATAGGCGGCTTCCATGTCCTTGATTTTTTGCTTCTGATCCCGGACCAATTGGTTCTCCTCGATGCCGTTGATGGCCAGCATCCCAGAGAAGATGTGCAGCGCCCACAAGGCGAACCAGGCGAGGAACCATGGCAGCCGGCCCATCTCGATGTTGAAGACCAGGGCATTGGACAGGATCGCGTCGAAATAGTCGGAACGTGCCAGGAAGACACCCACAATGGCGCTGAGCAGCAGACCTCGCAGCAACAGCTGGAGTCGTAGTGGTTGGCACATTTTCCGCACCTCCGGCTCTTCCAAGCAACCGAGGAGATGAAGCGGACCGCCTACTGCGGTGTTCCAGCGAGTCACCCACGGGCGGCTTCGGCACACGCTGTTGTCCTTGCACAGGATGGTGGAGAGGGAGTAAAAGAGCAGCGCCGCTGCGACGAAAGCGACGAAGAGCGGGGTATGCACAAGCATGGGCTTGGTGAGGCCTTGGAGCATATCAAGGGCAAGGTTGTAGACTTTGTAGAGGAGCTTCTCGGCCTCTGCGGCCTCTGCATTGTTCAGAACACCTTCAAAATCCTTGATGCCCTTTCCACCGAATTTTTTTGGGTCGAAACTGCGAACCGCCTGGACTATTGTTGCGAGCATCAGGTCCAGTCCGGAAGCCATAGCATTGCCAAGCTGGTCGGTAAAGCTTGAGGTCAGCACTAGAATAGAAGTGATCTCGAGCATGATGATGTCGATGCCAACGTGCATAACGACCGGGAGCTTGTGGTGCCTAAGGCCGCGCTTTCCATGCACCATCTCAGCAAGTGGTTGTACGGATGCCAGCAGAAATGCCAGCCCCAGCAGGAAGCGAGGCTGCAACAACCGCCAGGATTTCAGCAGTATCGGCGCGCTGCTCTGACCTATAGCAATGGATCTGCGAACCAGACGAATGAATGCTTTCCACGGGAACAGCTGTGCGAGCAGCTTGGTCCCTGGCTTGTCGATCAACTTCTGCAACAATTCCTTCACGCTCCTCTCCAGCTCTCCGCTCTTTTCCATCTTCTCACGCATGGCCAAAGTTAAAATGTGATTGAAGGACCTGGTTGGGCCTTGTGGTAGGTCCTCGTCTATACATACCTCGAAACCACAAATCAACTGATGATTTCCTTCCCCTGGCTGCACTTGCCAGTTGGATTGATCACAATGTGCGGCACGCCAGATGTCCCCCTCGGCTTTGTGCCACTCGTCAAGCAAAGTGCGGTTCAATTCATCAAGCGTCTTGGCCATTGAAAGGTTGTAATTCCATGCTCGGAGCTCAGCCAGGGCCGCCTTGGACTCAGCGTTGCTCGTACAAGCCAGGCCCATGCCGAGAGGGAGATCCACGAGGCATGTTTCCGAGGTTTTCTCGACGAAGTCGGCGAGGGCACTGGGCCGATTGGTGCCCCGGATGATGTGCCTGCTGAGTGTTGCGGAGAGCTGGCACATAGGAGCCTCGATCACGGAGCGGCTGGCGAGGTACAAGGAGACCATGGACATGGGGATTCCCCTGCCGAGCGCCTGCCTCACCTGGGCAAGCCAAAAAAGTGGGTGGGCAAGCCTAGAGTGCCTAGAGCCTCTACGACGAGATCCTCCTTTGCGACGATCCCTTCAACTCAAAATGGTTCCCAGTAATCTAGAAAGAAGACATGACATGGCGTTCTTTTGCCTAGTGGGGACTCTCTAAGGGAACCCGAAGCTCAGAGATTTCTGGAAGCGAGATCCTACCTGGCACCTTGAGCCGGTCCCAGGGCTGGACTCTGCTGCCGGCCACCAGCTCCCTTCCGTGGCGCCGCAGCAGCAGGGCCAAGTCCAGGTCCACCGCAGCCGCTTGCGCCAGGGCCGAGTCGTCCTTTTCCTCCAGGTAGCTCAGGGGCCAGGAAGACCACGTCAAAGCGGCGGTCCGGGAAGAACAGGATCTGGGAGGAGTTGTAGAGGAGGGTGTACCAGGAAATGAGCCACGATGCCACGAAGGCCGCCACCTGTAGCGTGGGCCGCACCTTCGGCCGATGCTCTTCCATGCTGAAAAAATCTGGCTTACGCCTGGAGGATATGGAATTGCTTGCGGTCTGAACACATTGGTTCCGTTGGGCTCGGCCTGAGCCGCAGGGTCAAACAACGAGGCGAGTTGGAATCAGCAAGACTTCTGTGCGCCGCACTGGTTCTCAAGATGTTGGGGTGGGGGGTGGGCGATTCCTACAACAGTTCTTGTAAAGTCCTCTGCAGGGCCCTTGAGGCAAACTCTCTAGGCTCTGCGACTCCACATTCTCGATGCTGCCTCGTGCCAGAAATGGCTTGTTTGAAGACAGTGGGCATGTCGACAGTGTCACAGAGCGCAGTTGCCTGGGAAAGCAAGTGCATGAGTGAACAAAAACTAACTAGAGAAGTGCTCCCTCGCGACTTAGCGAATCCCTACACTGCCCTACACTTTTTCCCAGTTCACCTTTTAAGAACGAGCAGGCCTCTTTGTTTGGGTACCTCAGCGCTCTGAGATTGAGGCGCACCTGTCTCCACTCGAACAGGGCAGCTCATGGTCCGTGACCTCGTCGAAACGGACAGGGACCGGAATGTACGTGAGGGGCACTGGCGCACAACATGTAAGATAGAAAGGACAGTGCAGCTAGCGAGGTAGAGCGTTGGCAGTCTCGCTTGTCAGTGCGTTTGCGAGCTAAGTTCTCGGGCAAGCTACGTGATTGGGCTCTTCTGCGGAGACTCGCAGCTGACTGAAAGCTAGTCTTCTAACTCCGTGAAACGTTTAGGAGGTTTGCTAGGCGTTGGTGGTGGGTTCAAGAGGGCCCTCTTACGCGCCTACGCACCTCCACAGCACATGCCAGCCAGGTTGTTACACCAAAGTCAATCCTAAACCCTTCCCTGTTTCACATCCTTTCGCCATTGTGCCTGCTGTGCACGCGTCTAGCACCGCATACAGTGTGGCAGAATCGGCAGAATCTTATCCAACCTTTAATTGCAAACGATTACAGGACCAGGCGCACGGACTCGCAGGGCTTTGCTTTTCCGTTTTCTCGAGGCATGTTTGGCAGACCTCGACGCCTTTGACGTGCACAAACGGCGCCAGATCTACGAGGTCTTCCGATACTTCGGGACGGCCCTTCCTTTGGATTCGTTGCCACTGGTCGTGTCGCAGCTACCCCTGTCACGGAGCCTGCCAGACCGAGCGTTGCAAAGCCAGTCCAAGTTCCCCCGACACTTCCTGCGCCTCCTGTTCGTCGCCCAGGTTCTTCCCTCTCAATTCCGTCTGCTGTGCCTACTTCGGCAGTGCCAAAAGCTTCAGCGATGGAGAGACCACAGGTGTTGTGATTGCAAAGGCCAGGCGCGACCCCGGAGCCTGCGAGACCCCCTCCCTGACGACTCCAGGAGTAGGAGAAAGTGGTTGTCATCGAGGAGCCCACAATGGCACCACAGCAACCACCTTTGCCCAAAAGCGACAGTGATCTCCGACAGTTGCAAGTGACGTTAGGCTTTTGGCTTTGCTCTGCGTGGGGCCATGACGTTTTCGGAGCCCGCCCCGTTTGACCCCTCTGTTGGCGGAGACAACGCGGGTGCCCAATGACTCTCTCTCACACTCAGTTTAGGATGCGATTCAGATGGGACAAAGATCGGGCGGTCGAGGCTTCCAAAGTTGAGGACTCAGGTGAAGTCAAGTTCGTGTCTGCGGGCCCACACTTCTGAGGCCTTCGTGCCTCCTTGAGCTGAAGCCGTCACCTTACTTCCTAGCCTGGCAAACCCACTAAGCTTACATTCTGCCCTTGATACTGCAAGCTCACGAAAGCCTAATCTCACAGTCAAGACCTCGCCCATAACTGCCGCCGTGCAAGGACCCAGGAAGCGCAAGCTGTGCTTCTGGGCTGATTCAGCTCTGCAACATCACTCTGGGGCAGAATCCGTCAGGGGGTTGCGCGGTCCCTTTTCCGACTGTTGCAGGGGCAATCCTGGCAAAGTCGCGAGCTCACTTGCCCTCCTGCCTGCCACAGGGACGAAGGGAAGCGAGTTGGCCAGCAGCGCCATGAGCAAGTGTCATGATGGGAGTGAGGGACAAAGGCAGCTACCTTAAGGGCTCCGGGCGTAAACAGCGAAAAGGGAAAGGGGCTTGGAAAGAAGCGGCAGAAGCATGAGGACGAGGCGTGGCTTGTAGAAAGCAGCTTAAGCCCTCCGAACCTGCCGCCCCTTGGGGATGCCGAAGACATCAGACAAAGGCACTGACAACCCCGCAAGGGCCCCAAACCGGCTGAGAACACGCAACGGAGCCCATATTTCAGCCCAAGTAGGCGCCGGGATCTCTGCCCAACTACGAGACGAGTTTTGCTTCCTTGCCTCGCAGTTTGAAAGTGTTCCCTGAGGAGCTCCGTCACAACGCGGGCGCTCATGGAGATGCCTCGCTAAGTGTATGTAGTCATGACAGTTATGCAAGGGTGGTGGGTCCGGGCGGTGTTGAACCACCAAGAGTGCATGCGCGAACCGGAGCCCGACAATAGAATAATCCCACTCGTTAATTGCAGATCTGCATATGATGCAAAGCAGACGCCAAGACCACCTTGCAGAAATGAGCGGCGGTAGTACAGTCCATCCCTAAGCCACAATGCTTTCTAGGTTTAGTCCTGCTGGCAAGAGGCTGGCAACGCCTGCCACCGCTGCAGTGGTGATGATGATGGCCTGCTGCGTGCGCACGGAGTGCCCCCAGTGGAACTCGTTTGCAAGCCTCAGTGGAAGAAGGATTCTAGGGCAAATGGCTGGCAACAATGACAGCGCAACAAGACTGTTCAGAGAGAGAATCCCCCCCCCATCACTTTCTTGTCCAATTTGGCGCTTCTGAACGGAGGAACCCTCTCTGCCACCCCTTGAAATACGGCAAGAGCAAGGAGGGGGCGCTTGCCAGCAGGCGGCAAGCCGGAGACGCTGACGATCATGTACATGGCCGTGGACAGCAAGATGATCTCAATCCTCCAGGACTGCAGGGGGGCTTAGGACTTATAGGGCCCCTTTGGGACTTTTAAGGTTCAAGGATTGCTGGGCTCAGTGCTTTCAGGTTCGGGAGATGCGGGGTGGATTTTGGGGGCGCGAAGCTTCAGGCTGCTCCAGCAAAGTCCTTCAGGGCTTGCCTGCCTCTAGGGGCTCCGCCTGCAGCTTGGCCTTTTCAAGGACCGCTTTAGGGTGCAAGCTGCCTAAAACCAGGTGCACATCTTTGTAAGGCACCCGAAAGCCAAGGTAAAGGCAGGAGCCTAGCCGCACCATTTTGAAAGAGACAGCCACAAAAAAACCCCCAAGCCCAGCGCTCCGGTTCCATTCCGGCGTGTGGTAGGGGTTGAAGGCCATGTAGCTGATCAGCGATGTGAGGATCACTGCGCCTGAGCCCAGAGCATTCAAGGGGCCTACATAAATCAGAAGAAGGGATCTAGGGTTTCGTCGCTCACTCTCTCACAAGGGATCTAGGGTTTAGGGTTTGTGGGGGATAAACCGAAGAGCGTCTTGGTGTATCTGATGCCAGAACTATCATGGGAAGCAGAGGGGAACAACAGCAGCAAAGTAGTGGTGAGGCTCCTGGATAATGCTGAGTCCGTACAAGCGAAGAGGCTAGGCGAAGGGGAGGACCAGACGATAAGCCCCGAGTGGGCACGTTGGGAGCCTGAAATGTGCCCCAAAGGACCCTTTTGGCCTCGAAAGGGCCACGCTGCAGGACCATGCACAAGGAATGCTCTGCGTGTCTACACTGAGATACAAGAATCCATCTATGTGTGCCCCGAGGGAATACGAGGCCATTTTGAAAACCCGCAGCTTCAACTTTGCAGCGCAGCATGACAGCAGGAGCTTGGCAACCCCAACGGCGCGCAAGCAGACATCAACGTTGCCCGTTTTTTGGGCTTTGAAGCGAAGTGTTGAGAATTCCTACAAGCGGAAGGAGTCAGGGGGCTGGAGGAGTCAGGGTAAGAGAGTTTCGCAATCGTCTACATTGTGGATGGTTGTGGCACACAGGAGGTGGAGAAGGAGGAGACGCAGCAGAGCCCTATCGATACACCCTCCTGGAACGCATCGTGCCATCTCGTCAAATACGTACCGCAAGGCCATTTTGGGCTGTGCTGGTGTTCAAGGGCCTGCCTCTCAACACCTCCCCAGTTTGTCAGCTGGCGCTCCTCAAACTGCAGCAAGTTTCGCTAGGTTGTGTAGCAACGTTCCGCATGTTGTCTCAAACCATTCACCACAATTGACCATGACAACGGGTGTAACTCGGCGTTCAAGGTAGGTGGTCTTGGGTCTCAAAGCTTGAGCGAAACTCTGCAACCGCGCTCGAGGTTGACAAGGAAACCCCAGAGCCCGGCCTAAGCCAGTCATCTGCAGCGCCGGCGAGGATGCGATCGGAAGGAAGGCACCGATGAAGGTCAGGAGCATCTTCCTTCATACCCGGAATCTAACACATTCCTCTAGCAACTTTGCTGGGCTTCTGGGGTTACATGATTCCATGAAGCCGCTTCCAAGGTGTTCTGGCATGTCACAGCTTGAGCAAGCGTTCGGTCGGGTTTAACACTAGAGCTTAGAGGAGATAGGCGGGAAGCCGATCCGGGACTCTGGGTTGAGCTAAGACACCATGCCGCGACTTCGGGCAGAGAACAAAAACAGATCATGACTGGTAGCAGCACAAATCTCCAAATCTTGCGCTCCTGACCAAACGCTCCGTCTCGAAGAGGGCATGCTCAGGCTTGTACTTGCTGGTCAGGAAGACCACGTGGCTCGGCAAGGGGTCCTGCAAGGCTCTGCCCCACAGGTGTTTCGCGGCGTAAAGGTCTGCGACAAGTGTCTAGGGAGAATGGGTTTATTCGCACAAATAGGCTCAGGGGTCGTCCACAGGTACCAAGTCCAACTCTTGGCAGGGGAGCCTCTATATGACAGCCCTGTCTGGTCTTAGGCTGCAGGGGTCGAGGTCGCAAACGTTGTGGGCGTCACAAAAGCGTACGGCTTTAGTGCTTCGGGCCGAGGCTGACCGCAGCTTTCAAACTTAGCAAGTCGAAGGCTGTATGCCACCTGGTCACACAAATCTAAGCGTCCGAACCCAGCAATGCCCGAACATGCCCGAACCGGAGCTTCTTGCCAGCCTAAGCTTGACCCATGAGAGTGGATCACACACCCACCCCTGTGCAAACCCCAGCCTCGGTGGACCTCGAGAGGCGCAGCCTGAGGAAGCGCGAGGGAAGTCGGGTGGTGTTGGGGTTTTAAAATGTTTTCTGTGCTCCCCGGCTGCTGTGCCTAATGCTGAAGTGTGGGGGTTTACGAAATATGGGAATCCTAATACAGACCCCAAATAGGAGGATTCCCATTATAATAAGGACCCCCAAGAAGGTACCCCTAATGTCGGAAACCCCAATATGAGCAGGAGGCCATGTCCAGAGCGCGGCGCCAAAGCACAGCGCGAACCCGCCTAGGACCTGCGGCTGTGCGGTGCAGGAGGGCGGGAGTTGGAGAGGAGGATTTGCACTTAGGAATGCGGAATCACAGTGGGGTTTGGCCGGGTCTCGTCTCTACACTGAAAGCCCCCAAGCCTAACGCCCAGAAACGTGGGAGATTGAGAGGACCTTCCATAACCACAGCATCAGGTTCAGGGCGTAAAGTGCTTTAAGTTCATGGGAAGGTGTCGAAGAGAATTTCAGGTGTTGCGAGGCCTGGGCAGCTCCGACGATCGGGGAGCCGGATGGCAGGAAGGGGCCTGGGACTTGCCATGCGCCCCCGGAAAGTGTTGTTGAGGGTTTACGCAGGAGGGTTGAAGCGTGGGGTCTTCAAACCTTGGGTCGTTCAGTTAAGAACCGAATGCCTGCTTCGTTTGCATGATACCCCTAGAATCATATAAATCAAAAGCCCAACACGCACCCTCCCAACCGAAAACACCCACAAGAGGCCTGAACTGCAGGCTCGCCAGCAAGATCCAGATCCAAGGGGCACTCTAGGCCCTGGAATCCAGAGCCATCGTCTCGCTCCAGGCGGAAACCTGAAATTGTGAGAAAAGGAGAACTTGGCCTAGTCTCATCTACACGCTCAATTCCTTGGCAAGAAGGCCCCTCCAAGGGCAAAACTCCGCAAACCCTTTTGAGTCGTGGAGCTGCTAATGACTTGAGGTGCGCGGCTATTCTTTAGCACCAGCTGTTTAGGCGGGCTTCAGCTTCAGCAGCCAACCTTGCCCCTGCACCCCGAAATTTTCTTCAAAGGCTGTGAGAGGATTCTGAGACGGCTGGGGCCCCTGGCAAACCAAGTACTTCCCGAAGTCGGCGGCGATGCTCGGCAGGAAGCAGTTGAGGCCTGATGCGATGGAGAAGGGCTGAAGGAATCGGGGACAACAAGTACCCGTTTCCTCTCTTTCCTCTCAACCCTCAGCTCCAGCACCTAGCACCTTTTGTCGGTTTTGCAGCAGGTTGCGGACGACTGAAGGGTTTCGATTTCGAGCTCCACTCGGCGAGTCCATTATTTCCTTTTTGCAAGCCCCTTCCTTCTGCTTGCTTCGGGCCAGCCCCCCAAAGCTCAAAGGACCTTCCCAAAAACCAGGCCAGGCGAGACGGCGCAACCAAAGGAACCCTTCCTCTTCTTACGGGGCCCTTGTGGGCCATGAGGCCCCTAAGCTCTCCGAAGCTCTCCACTCAAACACTTCCCAAACCCAAGAGTCTGCCTGCTCCACAAATGTGCTCTCAACCCTAGAGGACCCTCAAAGCCTACCTCCTTTAAAGCAAAAATCTGGGGATGATCTCTCCACGCCAGTGCCTGCAATGAGCGCAGCGCGGCCATCCTTCGCCAAGGACAGCAGCGCAACCAGCACGGCTGCCACGGCCTACATATGCCTACGTCATGAGGGTTGTGAATTTCAAAGCTTGGTGCTGTAGGGTGATATGGAAGTGTGAGGCTAGGCTTCTTGCTGCGCGACTTCCTCTTGCAACGGGCCTTTTCCTCCATCCAAGAAAGACCCTATGCAAGGCAACGGCCCCTGAACCGGAACCCCCTGTGACCAAGGATCGCTCGGAGGGGGTGAGTCTGCTAAGCTACCCCGTGCAGCCGCGCAGCCACGTCCAGCAGGTGGGAGCCCCACCTGGGCCACAGCTGACGCTCGAATCTTGGGAGCTTTGTTGGGGTCTTGAGACATCCTGGAACTTTGAAAGGTTGGCAGCCTAGAATCCCCCACTTCGGCCCAAGCTGCAGGGTCGTTCCATAGCCAAGGTAGGACAAGAGGCACTGCGAGGAGGCAGTGCCCACGGACCCTGCATCAATGGGGGTTTTGGGTGCAGGGCAAAGTTCCGACGAATATCAGTCTTGCTTGACATCCTCCTCTTCCACGTGCCAGTGCATCCACGGCGGCTGCAGGGTCCGGCGTGGATTCGGGGGCCCAAGAAGATGACAAGTGACCAGCAAACAAGGTCAGCTCTCAATGACCCACTGCTCGACTTTTTAAGCGGCAACGGCCTTGCCCAGAACTGGTCTCCGCAACGGCCATAGTCGCATTGAATAAGAAGTGTACCTGTGCTTGGCAGCAAAGCCAAGCTTTTTTAGACGCTGGATAAAATGCATGTGGGGTGGCTGTATCACTCTTCATGTCCTTTGCGGTCTGCGTTTGCATCACGGCGGCCATGATCCTGAGCAGCAACAGGGTCCAGACTACTCCAGCAATGAATACTTGAGTCAGTTTACACTGGGAGTCACATTAGCAGTGCTTGCTCTAGTCAACCCCAACAGGGCTGCTGGTGCAAGGCTTGTTCGAGCGCTGCAACGCCTAGGAAAATGCCTCGCCAAGCGGCGCTGTTGAGATCGTGGCAAAGGCCATGAGCTGATTCAAATACACGCTGCTCTGCTTGAGATCGCCGGCCTCAGGTTGCAACACTTGGGTTTAGTGCGGTAGCACGGTGCGAAATGCTGCAAGATCTCATCAAGCCAGAGTTCAGGCCAAGGATCTCTCTTGGATCCAAGGGCGCTTGTGGCTGCCAAGACGAAGAGCACCACGCGCTGCGACAGGAAGATGGCCCACTGCGCCGCCTATGGGCAGAAAACGCGCGCATCCAAGTTCTAGTTCCGACAAACCCCAGACTATGTTTACATCATCAAGATCTAGTCTAGCCAACTTCCAGGAGCTTCACGCCTGCACACGGGTCTCGTCGCTGCAGGCTGTGCCTTCGCCAAGCGAGTGCGTGTTCAGATTCGCTGCCAGCGCCGCAAGCATCCCACGGTCTGTGCTTTCATATCTTTCACCGCCCACAGAAACTGCATACCCTTTGCGTCAACTCCGTAACCCACCTTCAAAAGAGGACCCCCTTCTGCTGAGCGCTCGGGAAAATGCAGGAAAGGGGCCATCGAGAGCCTGGACTTTGATTGTTTTGCACAACATGCTGGGAGTCAAAGTTGCGGGGGTAAGGGCAAACAATTCAAGCTCGCTCGATGTCAGTGGCAGGCATCCAGCTCTTGGCTCAAAGTTTTCAAATCCCAGCAGACTTTGGAGCCCACGGGCCACAGAAAGAAAAGAACAAAGAAAGAAGCAAGCATGTGCCCCCAAACAGCGTGGGCACCCGAAGCCCTCATTGAGCTGAGCCCAGGTGCACGAAAGCACGCTGCTGTCTCCCATCGCGAAGCCCTTGCGGCAGTTGGCGCAACCCCGGCCCTCGTAGCCTGAGGGTGTCGGCTCTGTGGGCTCTTCACAGCTCAAGCAAGCCTGTGGCTAAGCTTATGGCACTCCAACACGAAGCCGTTGTTCAGCAACCCTTGTGTGATTTTACAGTGAAGAACTCCATCATGGACGCATCTGCTGGTGAAGAAACCCTCAACCTTGGAGACCCTCGATTTCCTCGGTTGAAGCTCCGGCACCGGCTTCGCACATGGCAGTTCCTTGAGGAAGTTGGCCCCCGGGACAGGCAGCCTTGCAACTGGAGTCGTGTTTGCTTTTCAACCGATTTTCGAGAAGGCTTTGGGGCTTGCGGGGCTCGGGGTTTGCAGCTCAGGGTGCAAGTTCAGGGGGTTCAGGGTGCAGCAGTAGCGTTGAGGGAATGTCAAAAACCATGGGTGCCATCGGCATTCATGGGGTTAAGGGTCGAAGGGTTTTTGAGCCCTCATTTGTGTATGCGCGAACCAGCCCGATCACTCGAGATTCCAGCCTCGCTCGGGCAGTGGAGGGTGTGGCTCACGTTCGTCTGCTCCACCATCAGCCCTGGCCTGAGCTGGAGAGCACACGGACATAAGAGCACCAGAGACACAGGTTCACAGCTTGAGAACACACCAGCTTGAGATTTAGCAAGGTTGAAGTCTTCCGGATGCACATGCAATAAAAGTGATCAACCTCTACAAGTCGGACCTTTCGGAAACACCTCACCAGCAACCCTAAGCTCTAAACCCAAAAGGCATGTCCCCACATCGCCGAACACCTCAACTCATCAACAGCTGTAGAGCCAACAACCGCGGCGTCGCACAAATGCCTGTATCAATGACCGCACTCGTTCTCGCATGCGAGCCCGAGCCCACTGCGCTCCTGCGCGCCCGCACACCTCGAGGCGCCTATCCTCTCGTGCCCAAGTACCGCCGCGCACACACCCACGCCCGCGCACACATGCCTGCTCTGCTTCGGCCCGAGCACTCCAGCTTGAGGCGGCCTGCCAGGCACTCGCGTGCTCCATCTGGGCAAGCGCTGCATGACCTGGTGTAGGGGTGGTGGAGGCCAGCGAGGTGTAGGGTGCTAAAGCGCGAAGGCTTCACTCCCCCAAAGCATCGGCCTGTTGCTCCCGTTGAAGATCTGCGTGGTTCCCGGCTCGCACGCCTGGCGTTCACTTGTCTTGGGTGTGTTTATGGGGATTAGGGGCCGGTTACTGAGCTCAAAGGCCGCATGTTGGGATTTGGAGTTGCGGAAGTTCCTTGGGGATTAACGGTGGTGGGCCGAAGGTCTTACAGTAGGGCTTCGCATGGCTGGTGGAGAAGGTGCAGGACGTTAAAATCAAGATTGCTGAGCTCAACTTTGCAAACCAGGTATACACACTGGCCAAATTGACTGTGTTCTGGTTCGTGCTAGCCGTGCGTCTGAGCCTAGACACGACTTGAGCTTGCAAACCCCATCTAATTCAGGATAAGACCGAAAGCCTACCACACCTCCGCGACAGTTTGGAACAAATCCTGACCGTACAACAGAACATATATTCCGCAGAGTCTTTTTGTCGGTGAATCGCTGTTCCTATCCGTACTGCAAGTGATCTGAACTGAAATTCAGGAGTCTTTGCTGCTTCCATCTCGCCACCGCACCGCACGGATTTCAAAAAAGGCCGGCAGTGCCAGACAGCCGAAGTCGTGCAGAGCTTCGTGATCCACCACACCCATCCCGACTGGGCAGCGGAATCCAGTGGCTCGGGTTGTGTTCGCGTAGAACACACCTGGGTGATGTTGAGCGGGGGTATTGAAACCCGTGCTCAACATGCTTGGGAGCTAAAGCCACAACGCCTAGGGTCCAACTGCTGAACAGTCACATGTGGTGGTGTTTGTGCAGTCCATCACGCCTGCCTTACGTCAGCTGATGCAGGGAAGGTCAACTAGTTCTCGAACCCAGCCCTGAAACAAAAAGGCTAGAGAACCTGCAGTTTGAGATTGTGGTGCACCTCGTGCCAGCGAGGGGCCAGAACGAGGGACTGCGCCGAGATGTATGTGCCAAATGTTGAGCTTGTGCGGAGCTCAGCGGAGTCTATTGTCAAGGCACCTGCCAGACAGGGCCTATATTGAAACCCCCCTCTCGACCTAGGGCAACTTATGTCACAGCCTCAGGCCTGAACCGTGCTTGCAGATCACATGCAGCTTGATAGACTTCAAAGGTTGGGGGCTTTTGCAGCTTCAACCCCCCCCCCCCGCCCCACGTCAAGTGAATGCCGTGCCTGCGACGATGATATCCTTGACATTGCTTGCCCCGCTTTCCAGCAGCGAGAGCTCCTGGACTTGCTCTCAAGGCTTCTGAGGCGCACGGGGTGCTTCGGATTGGAGCAGTTTCAAGCCATCTGCCCGGCAGCTCGGTCGACAGCTGAAACACCCCGAGTCCTTGACATGCACATCGGCATCGTTCACACCCGCCGTGAATGCCGCAGCAAAAGCTCCAGCTGTACAGCGCTTGAAGAGCAGATCGCGGAAGCGTCCTGGACATTTAGGCTTCGATGGGTTGCGAGAAACTCAGGAGTCAAGAATGAGACGGGGTTCTTACAATGACCCCCAATGCATGCACACTGAAAGTCCTGTCCCCGCTTTCGAAGATATCCCGCCGCCGAAGTTCCAGGCGTTGCATTCCTCTCACTTTGCTGCAGCTGCTTTCGCTATTGGAATTCTTAAAAATGACTGAGGCTGACACCCACCAGAGTGAAGTTGTGAGCTCAGTTTTCCGACGCTTCACATGAGCTCATTGCTGATACTACACTGTCCAAAGACCCACTTCTCAGGCTCAGATGGACATCGCCTTCACCACCCTCCCCTAACCAGTTACAGGAACTGCACTCAAAAGGGAAGCAGCAATGGCTTGGCACAGAGCTGCAGGGTAGGGTTGGGCTCGCAGAGTCATGAACTTGCCGTTGGCGTCCGTGCCGATCAGCAGGATGTGCTTGCGACCAGAAGCTGAGCAGCGGCCTTGTCGTGCGGCGCACGTGCCCGCTAGTGGCTGCAGCCAAGCAGACGGCCCGGACAACAGCCCTGTGGGTCTTTTCCAGGGCTGGCGGTACTGACAGTAGTGCACTTCAAAGAGGTGTCCTCGTTGCTGAAGGTCACGAACGGGCTCCGTCAGCCAAGCTCTGGAGGAGTACGGATTCTCCAGAACCCAACATATACTGTGGGCCTGACAGTATTTGATGAAGTGGCACGTGATATGCAGAAGCAAGTTGCCTTGCTGCACTTTGTTTGCATCGACTTTGCTGAGATGAGGCAGGCCCCAGAGGTGCAATGCATCATCACGTAAAGGCGGTGGCCCGAGGTTGTCGTACTTCTGGCCCTTGACCAGAAGTGATTTCCTTGCCACCTGCTTCTGACTGTTGGAAGGTGACCCGGAACACCAACGCCAGATTAGTGCCAACGAGCGGGAATCCAAACACCAAGATGACCCAGAAAGACCAGGAATCCCTGGGCTGATGTTCCACTCCTCCGGTCCAAGCACACTGACCATGGCAGATGTTTGGCTCAGTTCGTTGGGGCCTTGACACTGTGAACCGCCAGCCAATTGCAGCACCGCTTAGACCCAACGCCACATGGGAAGCATCCATGCTACTCTGTTTGCCCAGAAACACTTGACGGCAAACCGAGTCCTGAATTGGAGGACCGAGCCACACCAAAGTCGCTCATCCCCATAGGGGCCCAGAAACACTTGAGAGGAATGTACAGCGGGCGCACGCCTGAATGTCATTACTGTGCACGCACTTTACACGCCTCTGGCAAACTTCAGCACGCAGGCGTCCCAGCGCGACAGCCCCGCCAATTTCTACCCTTAGCATCGAAGATATTCGCAGATTCTACAAATCGAAATTGCCCAAAACTGTGCGCGCCGGGCCTCAAAAGACAGATTGCCATTGTGGTGCACGTTGCCGCCATCTCCGACATAGATGCCTCCACCTGCGGACGAAGCTTGCGACGGAACCCAGACGGTGATGTCTGATCTCGGCCGTGCTTGGCAGAGTCTAATTGTGTGGGGTAGCACACCGGTATTGCCATGAAGAGGGAGTTTATGAAGGTCTGCCCTCATCCACCGCCGTGCGGTAGAAACTAAAGAGCTGGGATTTGGAATGGCACGGCATGATGCCCTTGAAAATGTCAGCAGTCTACATCTGTCTAGCCACAACATCAACTGTAACATTCCTCACTGCTGCCATGCCAAACGAGTTGCCGGAACACCTTTGATACCAGTACAACTTTTGTGGATGACATGAATGGCCTCCGACATGTGAATTCGGAATGCTGCCATGAAGATCTGGCAATGTAAGGACAAGCAAATGTGCTCTGCACTCCCACGTTGAAAACAAGAGGGATCATTTACGATAAGTTTGGACTGGATTCTGCGATGACGCAGGCAACTTCAAGTGATCTGATGATCCCAGCACGCAAGTAGACATTGCCCCCAAGAAAACACAAAGTGCTGAGCAGATACATTGCTTGCCCGAGACTGCGGTCCCCTGAGTTGATCCGCCGAGGCCTTGGGCCGTAGGTGTAACCGGGCCCCACGTGGTGTTCGCTACTTAATCACCTGGAGGACGTTGAGAGTTGGCAGCTGTCTCCGAGTCTCCGCCTTCGTCCGCCTCACAGCGCCCGAAGAGCATGGAGCCGTTGCTGGCGAGCTGAAAAGTGCACAGGCCGCCCCCTCAGAATCGAGCTCAAGAGGTGAGGCGTCGGAATGCTCAAAGGTTCAGGTTCTAGAAGGGAACCCGGGCCTGCTAATTACACTGCTCAGATATGCGACGAGCAGCCACGCAACGTGCTTCGACGGACTGCGATGCAACTGGCCACGGCGCCTATCCGTTCAAAAAATAAGACGAGGAATTGGGTGAAGGATGATGAACACCACTCTGCCCAATTGTCCCCCCATGCGACATCCTCAGGCAAACCAAGGCCTGGGAGAGGTGGCTTTGCGCCCCCGCATGTTCTATCCTAGGGTAGTTACATGGTCCCTTAGTATGGGCCCATATGGTCTTGCAGCGAAGCTGCCGAGCTTCGCAACACAGCGCTCGAATTGCGCGGAACTGTTGCCGGCTTGAAAGTAGCTGTTCGCATAGAGGCCACCTCCTCAGCACAGGAAGCCCCCATAATTAAAACGGCCCAAGTCCTAATATCTCCGCACCACGAAACCATTGCAACCCAAACTTTGAAAACCTGGAAACTGCGAAAGGCGTCAGCACAGCAGCAAGCCCAGCCTCCAATTTCCTTTCGGGGGAGTCCCTGGTGCTACCCCGGGTGTTGCTGAGGGGCCGAATCCCTGCGCTGTGCAGTTGTCGAACTCTGCGGTGCTCTCCGCCGCTTGGAGAAAATTCTCGACATGCAGGCCGCCACCTTTTTTGGAGCTGGCCCCCCTTCCCAAGCCCTTGTGTTTGGGCGTGGAACCGAACTTTAGACCCGAAACCGGAAGCCTTGCCACAGAAGATCTCGACTAGCCTTCCGCAAAGCCACTCTCCAATCTTTCGACCTAAGCCTGCCAATGCGCGCCCCAAACAACCAGCGCAAACAACCCCGGACCATGATGCCCACTATGCCACTACGCATGCCCTGTGCAGGTAGACATGACGCAAGCTTCGTCTTGGCAATTGGCATTCGGCTACGCGAAGCCCTGCAAGCTCAGCGGCTTCCCTGCATTCATAGGTCAGTGGTGAGGAGCACGTTTCCCTGCTTTGTCTGCTTCAGAGGTGCCAGGCCGTGGTAATGAAGCAACCCTTCTAATCGAACAGCTTTACCAACGCTTTCCCCCGCTCCGTGCAGTCAGGCCCAAAGCTTCGTCCGGGAGTCTGGGCGCTTTGGCCTTCGCGGGGAGCATCAGCAAGCCTTCAGGGAAAACCTGACAGCGAAAACCACCAGACCTTTGCCGCCAAAGACACCATGTCGTCCAAAGCAACCCTGGAAGGTCGCGGAGCTGTTCACGTTCATGCGGAAGGCCTTCTCGATGCGGGCGCCGCCGCCGTCGGTGCCTGGGCAGGGGGGGAAGCTAATTTTAATTGTGGACCCGAACACCCCAAGAGCACCCACAAAAGAAGAACCCAAGCCTGCAAAGCTAGCTGCGGGAAAAGAAGCTGGCGTGGCAAAAGAAGCTGATCTTCGATGATGCTTTGCTCTCGGAAAACTCAGATGCACAGACCCGGGCGCATTGCCAAGGCACCAGACGCTGTGCAGTTGTCGAAGTCCGCCTTGCTCTGCTCTAGGAGGAAGCTTTGGGCACGCAGGCCGCCACCTTCGCCAGCTTCAATGAAGGAAAACTCCACAAAACTCTGCACCACTGGAAAATGCCTCGCGAAACTTCTGCTCGGCGCAGCCTCCCTTGTGCCCTCAGAACTCCAGAGCACGCCCTTCTGTACGAACTTTGCGACCCCAAACACCCTCAATGCATCCCGATGCCCTTGACGATTGTCTCCCATTACCAGCACATGTTGTCTCCATCTGCTCTAGACATGCAAAGCTCCCTGCGGGCACTTCGGCATGCCTTCGAAAGGCGACTCGGAAAGCCTTCGCCAGACCTTGGCCCTTGAGCTCCGTGCCGTCAAGGCGCCATCGCGTGCAGAGCAGCCCCGGAAGCTGGCGGAGCTGCTCGCGTTTATGCGGAAGGCCTCCTCGACGTAGGCGCCGCCGCCACTGCCGCGGTGGCCTTGGCAGGGGCGCAGAAAGTTGCGGACCCGAACACCCAAGTCGACCCTCATCTGCGAGACCGCAAGGCCAGAAGGGCCGGGAAGGCTATATCCTCTTGTCTATTGGGACTCGTCAGCTGTTTCAGAACCCATGCCAAAGCACCAACAAAAAAAAACCAAGCTTGCAAAGCTAGCTGCTGGGAAAAGAAGCTGGCGTGGCAAAAGAAACCGATCTTCGATGATGCTTTGCTCTCGGAGAACTTAGATGCACAGCTCCGGGCGCATTGCCGAGGCACCAGACGCTGTGCAGTTGTCGAAGTCCGCCTTGCTCTGCTCTAGGAGGAAGCTTTGGGCACGCAGGCCGCCACCTGCGCCAGCTTCAAAGAAGGAAAAACGCCACAAAACTCTGCACCACTGGAAAATGCCTCGCGAAACTTCTGCTCGGCGCAGCCCTTGTGCCCTCAGAACTCCAGAGCAAGCCCCTCTGTACGAACTTTGCGTCCCCAAACACCCTCAATGCATCCCGATGCCCTTGACGATTGTCTCCCACTACCCCCGCGCAGCCACGATGGCCACGATGCATGACGCAGCCCGCAACAGGTCACAAGCTTCCGCTTTGCAACTGCATTCAGCTAGCATCCAACACTCCCGTGCGACGTTGCAACGTGGACCAGCACATGTTGTCTCCATCTGCTCTAGACATGCAAAGCTCCCTGCGGGGGCACTTCGGCATGCCTTCGAAAGGCGACTCGGAAAGCCTTCGCCAGACCTTGGCCCTTGAGCTCCGTGCCGCCAAGGCGCCACCGACTGCGGAGCAGCCCCGGAAGCTGGCGGAGCCGTTCGCGTTCAGGAGGAAGGCCTCCTCGATGTGGGCGCCGCCACCGAAGCCTGGGCAGGGGCGCAACCAGTTGCGGACCCGCGGACCTGAACATCTATATAAGTCGGTGAGACCGCAAAGGCTGGAAGGCTAGAATGATTACTAGAATGTCGTCGTGCGCTCGTCAGCCGCTTTCAGAACCCGTGAGAGAGCGACCACAAAAAAGAACCCAAGCTTGCAAAGCTAGCTGCGAGGAAAAGAAGCTGGCGTGGCAAAAGAAACCGATCTTCGATGATGCTTTGCTCTCGGAGAACTCAGATGCACAGCCCCGGGCGCATTGCCAAGGCACCAGACGCTGTGCAGTTGTCGAAGTCCGCCTTGCTCTGTTCTAGGAGGAAGCTTTGGGCACGCAGGCCGCCACCTTCGCCAGCTTCAAAGAAGGAAAACTCCACGAAACTCTGCGCCACTGGAAAATGCCTCGCGAAACTTCTGCTCGGCGCAGCCTCCCTTGCATGTGCCCTCAGAACTCCAGAGCACGCCCCTCTGTACGAACTTTGCGTCCCCAAACACCCTCAATGCATCCCGATGCCCTTGACGATTGTCTCCCACTACCTCCGCGCAGCCACGATGGCCACCATGCATGACGCACCCCGCAACAGGTCACAAGCTTCCGCTTTGCAACTGCATTCAGCTAGCATCCAACACTCCCGTGCGACGTTGCAACGTGGACCAGCACATGTTGTCTCCATCTGCTCTAGACATGCAAAGCTCCCTGCGGGGGCACTTCGGCATGCCTTCGAAAGGCGACTCGGAAAGCCTTCGCCAGACCTTGGCCCTTGAGCTCCGTGCCGTCAAGGCGCCACCGCGTGCAGAGCAGCCCCGGAAGCTGGCGGAGCTGTTCGCGTTCATGCGGAAGGCCTCCTCGATGTTGGCGCCGCCACCGAAGCCTGGGCAGGGGCGCAACCAGTTGAGGACCTACGGACCCGAACATCTATATAAGTCGGTGAGACCGCAAAGGCCGGGAAGGCTAGAATGTCGTCGTGCGCTCGTCAGCCGCTTTCAGAACCCGTGAGAGAGCGTGAGAGAGCGACCACAAAAAAGAACCCAAGCTTGCAAAGCTAGCTGCTAGGAAAAGAAGCTGGCGTGGCAAAAGAAAACCGATCTTCGATGATGCTTTGCTCTCGGAGAACTCAGATGCACAGCCCCGGGCGCATTGCCAAGGCACCAGACTCACCAGACCTTGTGCAGTTGTCGAAGTCCGCCTTGCTCTGCTCTAGGAGGAAGCTTTTGGCAAACAGGCCGCCACCTTCGCCAGCTTCAAAGAAGGAAAACACCACAAAACTCCGAGCGACAGGAAGATGCCTCGCGAAACGTCTGCTCTGCGCAGCCCCCTCACGCCCTCAGAACTCAAGAGCAAGCCCCTCTGCACGAACCTTACGTCCCCAAACACCCAATGCATCCCAATACCCTGGAGGGTCTCCCATTGCCCCCACACAACCACGATGGCCACCAGGCATGACGCAACTTTCAACAGGCCACAAGCTTCCGCTCTGCAACTGCATGCATTTGCCCAACACGCCCATGCGACGTTGCAACGTGCATCAGCACATGTTGTCTCCGTCTGCTCGACACATGCAAAGGAGAAGAGGTTATCTGCGTCTTTTTTTGGGTTATCTGCGTCTTTTTTTTTCGGGTTATCTGCGTCTTTTTTTCTAGGTTATCTGCTTTTTTGTTCCTCGTTTCGTGGGACCTGCCACGATTTTGGGCGGTTCACTGGGTTATCTGCGTCTTTTTTTGGGGGCTTATCTGTGTCTTTTTCAGGTTTTGGCATCATTCAGGGTTTTGGTAATCAACATTTCTTTTTGGGGTTGAGGCTTGGTCAAATCCAACATCTCCTTTTAGGGTTTAGGGTTTGGCAACCAACATCTCCTTTGAGGTTTAGGGTTTGCCAACCAACATCTCTTTTAGGGTTTAGGGCTTGGCAACCAACATCTCCTTTTAGGGCTTAGGGCCTTTTAGGGTTTAGGGTTTGGCAACCAACATCTCCTTTTAGGGTTTAGGGTTTGGCAACCAACATCTCCATTTAGGGTTTCGGGTTTGGCAACCAACATCTCCTTTAGGGCCTTTTAGGGTTTAGGGTTTGGCAACCAACATCTCCTTTTAGGGTTTAGGGTTTGGCAACCAACATCTCCTGTTAGGGTTTAGGGTTTGGCAACCAACATCTCCGTTTAGGGTTTAGGGCCAATTGGGGTTTAGGGTTTGGCAACCAACATCTCCTTTTAGGGCTTAGGGTTTGGCAACCAACATCTCCTTTTAGGGTTTAGGGTTTGGCAACCAACATCTCCTTTCAGGCTTTAGGGTTTGGCAACCAACATCCCCTTTTCGGGTTTAGGGTTTGGCAACCAATATCTCCTTTTAGGGTTTAGGCTTTGGCAACCAACATCTCCTTTTAGGGTTTAGAACCAACATCTCCTTTTGGGGTTTAGGGCTTTCCCACCAACATTTCCTTTTAGGGTTTAGGTTTGGCAACCAACATTTCCTTTTAGGGATTAGGGTGTGGCAACCAACATCTCCTTTTGGGGTTTAGGGTTTGGCAACCAACATCTCCTTTTGGGGTTGAGGGATTTCCCACCAACATTTCCTTTTAGGGTTTAGGGTTTGGCAACCAACATCTCCTTTTCGGGCTTAGGGCTTGGCAACCAACATCTCCTTTTAGGGTTTAGGGTTTGGCAACCAACATCTCCTTTTAGGGTTTAGGGCTTGGCAACCAACATCTCCTTTTAGGGTTTAGGGCTTGGCAACCAACATCTCCTTTTGGGGTTTAGGGTTTTCCCACCAACATTTCCTTTTAGGGCTTAGGTTTGGCAACCAACATCTCCTTTCGGGGTTTAGGGCCTTTTAGGGTTTAGGGTTTGGCAACCAACATCTCCTTTTAGGGTTTAGGGCTTGGCAACCAACAATTACTTTTAGGGTTTAGGGTGTGGCAAGGGTTTAGGGCTTGGCAACCAACATCTTCTTTTAGGGTTAAGGGTTTTCCCACTAACATTTCCTTTCAGGGTTTAGGGTTTGGCAACCAACATCTCCTTTTAGGGTTTAGGGTTTGGCAACCAACATCTCCTTTTAGGGTTTAGGGCTTGGCAACCAACATCTCCTTCTGGGGTTTCGGGATTTCCCACCAACATTTCCTTTTAGGGTTTAGGGTTTTCCCAATCCTACATTTCCGTTTAGGGTTTAGGGTTCTCCGAAACCAACATCTCCTTTTGGGCTCATTACGTATAATGCAGAAGACACCCAAAGTATGGAGAAAAAAGGACACAGATAACGCAGAAAAAAAGACACAGATAACGCAGAGAAAAAAAAAGACACAGATAACGTGGAAAACGGACAGAAAAGACGCCATTCCTTGAGACTTGACGCAAAAACAGCTAACAAAAACACAGATTGCGCAGAAAAAAAGACACAAATAACGCGAAAAAAAGACACAGATCACCCCCTTTCCCATGCAAAGCCTCCTGCGGCGGGCGCTTGGGCATGACTTCGAAAGGCGAATCGGAAAGCCTTCCCTAGACCTTTGCCCTGGAGTTCCGTGCCGCCAAGACACCAGAGCAGCCCCGGAAGGTGGCGGAGCTGTTCGCGTTCATGCGGAAGGTCTCCACGACGTCTGCGCCGCCGCCGCCTACAATACAAAAAAGGCACCCAAGCTTGCAAAGCTAGCTGCTTGGAAAAGAAGCTGGCGTGGCAAAGAGCCCGATCTTCGATGATGCTTTTGCCCTCAGTAACTCGCACGCACAGCCCCGGGTGCACAACCAAGGCACTGCAGTTGTCGAAGTCCGCATTGCTCTGCTCTAGGAGGAAGCTTTCGGCACGCAGGCCGCCACCTTCGCCAGCTTCAAACAAGGAAAACACCACAAAACTCCGCGCCGCAGGAAGATGCCTCGCGAAACTTCTGCTCTGCGCTGCCTCCCTTGCGCCCTCAGAACTCCAGAGCAAGGCCTCTGTACGAACCTTACGTCCCCAAACACCCAATGCATCCCAATACCCTGGAGGGTCTCCCGTTGCCCCCACACAACCACGATGGCCACCAGGCATGACGCACCCCTCAACAGGCCACAAGCTTCCGCTCTGCAACTGCATGCATTTGCCCAACACGCCCATGCGACGTTGCAACGTGGACCAGCACATGTTGTCCCCGTCTGCTCTACACATGCAAAGCCTCCTGCGGCGGGCGCTTGGGCATGACTTCGAAAGGCGAATCGGAAAGCCTTCCCTAGACCTTTGCCCTGGAGTTCCGTGCCGCCAAGACACCATGTGCTCCAGAGCAGCCCCGGAAGGTGGCGGAGCTGTTCGCGTTCATGCGGAAGGTCTCCTCGATGTAGGCGCCGCCACCGCCGCCGATGTAGTCTGGGCAGGAGTGCAGCCAGTTGAGGAAGGGCGGGGCTTCTTTTACACACCGAATTGGTTGCCTTTGGACCTGTTCACGATTTGGGTTTCTTCAGAAAACATCACGTTCGGACTCGAGTGTGCATCCTAGGAAGGTTCCTGGGGAGTTCATTGTCCAGTGTGCGTCCTGGGCTGCGCGCTCGAGTCCGAACGTGATGCTTATTGGACCCGGCGCGTGTCGAAAAGGGCTCCGTGTCAGGACTCCAGCGCGCGCCCTCCTTTTTATTCATCTTGCAACCCAATTTTTTGGGCTTGGTTTTTGTAATGCCTTCCCACGTTTGCTTTTCTCGTGTTGTCTTAATGGTTTTGCTATTGGTTGTGGTTTTGTTGTGTCGGCTGTTATGTTAAATGGCTGTTTTGGGCTGTCTATGTTTTATTTGGCTGCTTATTTTATCCGCTCATTCGACTTCTTTTTGAGCTTTTGTCTTTCCGAAACAGGGTTGCATTCTTGAGGCTGCAAGGCCCAGACACTTTAGGGGCGGCTTGGGGTTCCGTAGGGCTTGCTTGCTTTTCTACAAAAAGAAGACACTTTCCGGGTTTCGGGTTTAGGGTTTTTGTTATTGGCTCTGGGTTTCTTTTGGGCTGTTAGGTTCAGATGGCAGTTTTGGTTCTTGAGGCTCGCAGGCCCAGACACTTTCAGGGTTTAGGGTTTAGGGGTTTAGGGTTTAGGACAGCCTTTCGTACTCCATAGGGTTTGCTTGTTTTTCTTATAACAAAAAGACACTTTCAGGGTTTAGGATTTGGGGGTTTAGGGTTTCGGGTTAACGTTTTTTGTTCTTGGTTCTGGGTCGCATGGCGCCCGGGGGAGGCCGCATGCATTTTGCAGCGACTGGAAAATGCATTGTGGGAAGCCCCGCCACGTATAAGACATACCCCACAAAATGCGTTTTGCGGCGTCCGAGAAATGCATGGCGGGCAGCATGGGGAGGGGCTTGACTTAGGACTGCGTGCGCACTTGAGTCTTAACATGATGTTTAATCGACGCTTAACGCGATGTTTTCTTGACCCTGCCCCCATGATGGAGAGTTTGGTGCTACAGTTACTCGTCGCATTGCGCGAGTTGCCTCATTGCCCAAAAAACTCGCCACAGGCCGACCCACAAATACCCTGAAGGGCCAGGTGGGAGCAGGAACCAACAGTCCACAACGAATGTCGTCACATTTCCTTCCAGCATACGACAGAAGGTGAAAGCCCCAAGGGCACTGTCCATCAGAGCAATCCCAAAATACCTCAGCCGCAGGTGCGCATCGTATCGGACCATCACGTTGAAGTAGCCGAAGAGGCACCCACCAGGTGAAAGGGAAACTGCAGCAGCACATCCATCTGAGGGGCCGAGAAACGGCACCCGACCCGCAGGCCTGGTTCCTGCAAAGCCTGGCAACCGCAAGTGGCCATGAATAACCAAGCAATAAATACATGAATCGCAAATAAGTAAGATCCAAGCTCCGAGCATAGCCGCGAGCGTCTCTGGCAGCTAACGAAGCACTGCGCCCTGTAGCCGTCCCGAGGTGTAGTTGCACAGCCTGGCCAGTGTATCTTCGCCCATGCATGAACACGAACCTGCGTGGCTCCCGCTGCAGCACCCCTCGCTTCTGCCAGCAGTACGCTTGGCCTGTCTGCCATGGATGCTGGTTGCCGGACTTGGGACCGGCGCGGGTCGTAAAAATGAAATACAGAAGAGCGGACCTGCAGTGAGGATGCTTGAAGGTGTCACTTGTATAGCTCCCAACCCTTGGGCCAACCGCGTTTGCGCAACCAGCTCATCAAGTGGGAAAGGCGTCTCCAAAAACATCCTGTACATCCAGTAGCAGAATGCCATGCATATACCACACCAAATCCATGAAGGCCAGTTAATTGCACAGAGGACAACCTCAATGCTTGCGTCTCAGACTTGTCGCCATCGTCATGGCATTGTGAATGGGCGCCGAAAAGCGGCTACCCCAGGCTCAACACTGAGAAACCATGTGCGAAAGCAAGAACTACAGCGTCCGGAAGGGGTCCAGTTGAACAGAGAACATGTTAGGCCTCGAACCCAATTGACCCCCTACAAAAACACACGTGAAACACAGCGCCGGCATGATGGATTTCAAAAGCACTGGGGGTGGGGGGGGGGGTGGGGCGGGGGCCAGCCCCTGTATTTCTTTCTGTAGTCCTTTAATGTTCTTTAGTTAATTCTTGCTTTCTTTCTGTCTGTATTTCTTTCATTCTTTCTTTATTGATGCATTTCTTTCTGTATTTCTTTCATTCTTTCTTTATTGATGTATTTCTTTCTCGCTTTCTATATCTCTTCATCTCTTTCTGTGCTTCTTTGTTTCACTATTTCTGTTGTTTTTTCTTTCTTTCTTTCTTTCTTTCCAGTCTCTAGCTGCCAATTGCGCAGAGTCGCAGAAGGCCCTGGGGGGAAGCCTCGGAGAGAGGCCCTGAGGCTCGAACAGGAGGAGCCTTCACGGGGTGAAAAAAGCCCTCCCAGGCCTGATAAAATGTTTTCCTCCCAGTTGCTTCCCGCTGCAGAGGCGTGCAGTCATCCAATAAAAGCCCGCTGTCGGGTCGAGAAGGCTTTTTTGGGACATGGGGTGCCAAACAGGGACCCGTTAAAAGCCCGCCATCGGGTCGGCGCGAGGCTTTTTCTCGTGGTAGCAAAAACCGTGGGTTGGGGAGGACGCTTTTTGTCCACGAGGGGCGACCAGGAGGCCGACCCAGGCACAGAAAGACCATTCGGGAAGGAGCCGAAAAAAACCCTATGAGGGCCAAAAACAAAACCAGCCCGTTGCGGACCCGAACACCCAAGTCGACCCTCATCTGTGAGACCGCAAGGCCGGGAAGGCTCCTCGTGTCCCTTGGGGCTCGTCAGCGGCTGCTTTCAGAACCAGTGAAAGCACCCACAGAAACAGACCCAAGCTTGCAATGCTAGCTGGGAAAAGATGTTGGCGTTGCAAAATAAAGCCTTGTTCAGCGATCCTTTGCTGGCCCTCGGTTTCCGATGCACAGCCCCGGGTGCCGCCGAGTTGCTAAATTTGGCCTTGCAGCTGTCGAACTCCGCCTTGCTCTGCTCTAGGTGGAAGCTTTTGGCACGCAGGCCGCCGCCTTCGCCAGCTTCCCAAAAAGCCCACGAAACTAGAAACTTCTGCCTTGTGCAACCTCCCTTGCACCGTCAGAACTCCAGAACAAGCCACTATGAACAAACCCAAACCCCCAATGCCCCTGAGGGTGTGTCAAAAAGGCTTCCATTTTGCAACTGCATTCAGCGCCCCACACTCCCATGTGATGTGGCGAATGGTCGTGGAGCAGCACATGCTGTCAGCACATGCTGTCTGCATCCGCTCTACAGATTCAGAGCTTTTGGCATGAGTTCGCACGGCGAATCGGAAAGCCTTCACCAGACCTTTGCCCTGGAGTTCCGTGCCGCCAAGACACCATGCATTGCAGAGCAGCCCCGGAAGGTGGCGGAGCTGTTGGCGTTCATGCGGAAGGTCTCCTCGATGTAGGCGCCGCCGCCGCGGCCGCGGTATCCTGGGCAGGGGCGCAGCAGTTACGGCCCCGACACCCAAGTCGACCCTCATCTGCGAGAGCACCCACAAAAAAGAACCCAAGTGTGCAAAGCTAGCTGCTGAGAAAAGAAGTTGACGTAACAAAAGAAGCCGATCTTCGATGATGCATTGATTGCCCTCGGTAACTCAGATGCACAGCCCCGGGTGCACCACCGAGTTGCCAGACAGCGGAGCCGTGCAGTTGTCGAAGTCCGCCTTGCTCTGCTCTAGGAGGAAGTTTTTCGCATGCAGGCCGCCACCTTTGCCTGCGTCAAAGAAGGGAAACTCCACAAAACTCGCGCCACTGGAAGATGCGGCCTCGCGAAACTTCTGCTTTGCGCGATCTCCCTTGCGCCCTCAGAACTCAAGAGCAAGCCCCTCTGAACGAACCTGTACGTCCCCAAACACCCAATGCATCCCGATGCCCTTGAGGGTCTCCCATTCCCCAGCTTTTCAAGGACGCAGGCCATTTCAGCAGCTTCAGCCTTCAGCTTTTGTAGAAAGCTGAAGGAAAGTCGTGAAGCCAGCTGCCCAAAGTGATGCAAAGCCCCCCACCCGACTGTCGGGGCCGAAGGCCTGAATATGCCCTGCAGTTCTTGAAGGCGATGCTGCTGTTGAAGGCACTCAGGTCCTCCTGCACGAAGAGAACGCCTCCGTTCTCCATCTCGAGACCAGAAGCCTGGAATCAGAGCTTGCGAGAGCAACAAAAGAAACGCCTTGTGAAAGGAACGACACCTTCTTGGAAAAGGTTATGAAGCTCAGCTTCCGTTTTGCCATGGGTTCTGCTTAGCTCCAAGCCAAGCCCTAAGCGGCTAACCACAAATCTAACATCGAGAGGCTAGAGATTCCCTCACAAACAAATGCTGGCGTAAAGGTGTTAGCCTACATTGAGACGAACAGTCTGGAAATCAGTCCTGAGATGCGTTGGAGAACAAGGGGTCACAAATCAAAAGCAGCCGTTTTTCACACCCCTGGTTTGACTCAAATCAAGCATCACAAAGCAGGGAAGTCCCTCATAGACGGATCCCACTGAATCACAGGCTCACGGCCCCGAGCAGCTACGTTGTAGCCGCATTTCTCCGCGCCTCTTCCTTCTTTCTCTCACAAGCCGCGCCATGTACTCGCAAAGTATCCCGTGCATCCCCTTGGGGCCTCTTTCTTTGTGTCATCCTTGTCATTGTCCTGGCATCCATCAACACAAACGATCAAGCGCACTTTGCTTCGGTCTGTCCTTTATCTGTCTCTGCAACTAACGGAACGGATGCAGGACTTTCAGCAGGTCGTGTGCTCATGACGTGTTGAGTCCCTGCTCGACAGCCAGCATGCGGATGGTCTTGAGCCCGTCTGCTCCATTGAGCCCGTAAGCCCGGCTCGAGAAGCCGTTACACCTTGAACGCGCCCAATTCCAAACCGAAGCTCGCATGCGCAGGAGCACAGCCCCAGCGCCGCCTTCTGCACGCAATCGATGAAGCTGACTCGGGCGTCGACGAGGGTAAGGTTCCCAAGCACTGTGATGCCTTCGATGCTTTTGAGGCTTGAACCCTCTGACTTGGGGGGTGGAGGGCTGCAGGACTTGCAAAGCAGATCTCTCACGCACAGGCAAGGGGCAGGGTCTATCCAGCTCCTTTGCACCTGTGATCTGCAGCTCGCCCTGGAGCACCAAGTCCCCTGCACTGTTAAATCGGGACACAGGGCTCAGCACCCGCCCAATGCTGCTTTTGGGGCTTCCAGAGGCAACAAAACAAGTCGATGCCCTTGTCTCTTGCAGGTCATGAGCTTCCATGCGCAGGACTCATCGACCTCGCTTGTGTTGGGAAAGGATCGCATACAATCACAACGCCGGCAGAGCCGAGTTTTGGAACATGTATCTAGCCTAACTCCCTCGCAAACACAGCTAGCAAAACATCTGAAAGCCAACATCTTTCATGGCGCTCGACTGTCCTACTCCAACGGGTATCAACCTCAAACCCTACAGCCACCCAGCTGCAGATGCCTTCAAATATCTCACACGTTTCCAAAACCCCAAGTATCTCCAAAGCCCAACACCCTCAGATCCTCCATGCCCGGAAGCCCTGTGGAAGCCTCGGAAGGTCAGCGGCGCCCCCAGGGTCACCTGCCGAAGAAGAGCTGCAGGGCGAGCTCTTCGGCACTTGGACTTGGGTTTTCCGTTAACATTTGTCTTCAGATGTTCCTGCAGCTTGCGTTTGAGTTGTACGGCCTCAGGGGTTTCGAGCTTGGCCCCCTCAAATACTGGATCCTTGCAGCGGCAGATACTTGTACTTGATCCTTGTTCACCTTTACTGTCATCACTGGTGTTCTTGGATAAGGGTACGAGTACAGATTTTAAGCTTTGCAAGCTTTAGGATTGCGGCGCATGAGACCTGAACTTCCTGCACCGCAGCCCCCACGAGCTCCGAGTCCCCCAAACCCGAAACTTTAAGCTAAACCACAAGCAGCCAGGAACACAGCGCTTCTCGTACGAAGCACACCATGCAAAGCATAGGGCAAGTTCCGACGGCAGCTTCGACTTTTCAGGAGCAATCCACGGGCAATCTTAAGGCCAGGGCTCCCAGTCCGAGTAAAAGACGGGCAGTTTCGAAGCTCCGGGCGCCCGCCTGCACCCCACTCGCGCGCCAAGTGCAGGCGCTCAAGGTGAGTGCCGAGTCCTGGGCCCAGGCTTACGAGGCTGGTGGGCTTGCAAGTTGCTATCGGCTTGCCAGGTCTACTGCTCTTGTCTCCATTCCTCATTCTCCGTCTTTGTAGCAAATCAGATTGCAAATTAAAGGAGTGAGGCTCTGCCCACCTGCGGTCGAGGTGCCACCGTGCTGCTGCCGTCCACCGGCAGCGTGTCGTCGCAAGGCGGGAGACCAGCCTATTCTGCCACCACGGGATACTTGCTTTTGTTCAACCCAGGGGCAGGGACCCCAATACCCCTTAATTAAGGAATCTTCCTGTAATTGGGTTCCTTACAGGGTTTAAGGCAATAATCCTTGATTGGGGAGCCGTTGCTCGAATTTCGGCTTCGTCTACCTTACATCGTCTCGTGCTGGTAGCTTGTATGTTTGTTGTCGGCTGCTTGTCGGCTGCTTGCGGGCTTCGGGTCAAGAGAAAAACAGGAAAGGGGCAAACAATTCAATGGTTGTCTCGATTCAATTTTTTGTTGCGGATTGCGCAAGTTGCTTGCCGAGCGGCTTGCTCGTGGCTGAGCCAGGACTTCATCTGGCCTCTGGACTGCACATCCTGAGCTGCTGTGACAGTGCTTCTCAACAGCATAGTCGAATTGGGGGAGAACTATCCGCACCATGACGCCACAAGTTGCGACACTGCTGCAGCAGTTGCGAGGTAAAGGTATTCTGTTTAAGAGTTCCCGTCCGGCACCGAGCGCTTGCAACTTGGGTCTCGCAGCAGATTTGACATCAGTTCTTATTCAAGCCGAGCCAGAGGCCTCTAAACCCACAACCGCTTGATTGAACTTCTCCAAACACAGATTGAGGCAAGAAACGACCTTCACTTCCAGCTCAGAAGCGTTTGCCTCAGCATTGGCATTTCCAGACATGAGCCTCTGTGATATCTGTGGTGCTCGGAGCAACTGCGGGAGGTTTCAGTTTTCGTGCTTAGGGCTTGGGTCTTCCGGTGTGTAAGGAAGTCCTTGACCGAGCAGGAGAGCGGGGCCACATGCCGCGCGGAAGCCCCGGCTCGAGTTGGGATGAGCAGCCATGGGCGGCCCACGCCGCCGCGTTTTGAGGGTGAACAAGCAAAAAATTGCCAGAATTCGGGTCTGTTCTGATCTTGGGTGGTTCGTCTTCCGGAGGCCGCTAGATTGAAGCGTGACATGGCTTGGCGTCATCATCCTGGCCCTAAATCCCTTCACTCCGTTGCTCTAGACCAAGAGGCTGTCCCTGAACCTACAGGGCTAGAGAACCCCCCAGCCAGAATGGAGGTTGGAGGATGATTTTTGGAAAGACAAGGCCCTTGTCTCAGCCGAAGGTCCAACCTCACCTTCCATGAACCGTTGGATTGCACCAGCACCCTCACCTTCCTCTAAACCCTTGAGCCTCAAGTTAGGGCCCCAAGTACCAACCCGCTGCAAGTCTGCGGCCTTGCTAGCTGGAAGGCTCCAAGGCGCTGCCTGCCAAGCTATGTGCATGGAGGTTTGGGGGGCTGGAGTTCTGGCTGATTCCCGGAAGGCCCCAGCCAAACATCTCCACCCCAACGAGCCATAAGCCCTCACCTCCCCCTCCAAACCCAACCCTCCCGCTTGGAGGGCTCAGCACCTCAAGCTGCCAGAGATGCTGCTGAGGGCGTACGGCATGCGAGGCCAGCAGAAGTCCTTTTCAGCCCTCCCACCACCCCCAACCCTCCATTAAGGTTCGGGGTTTCGGGTTGACTTCATGTTGCTGCAAATTTTGCAGGGAGGAACTGATGAAGGTGCTTGGAGCACCGGTTTTCTGGGCGACGTGCGTACCAACAGCGTTTCTCAAGAAGTTGAGTGTCTTCATGATGCAGGACTGGGGAGGAACTTAAACTGTCAAGCAAGCACCGGTTGCATCCTGTTGCTACGATTCGATTCGCAACGTCCTCCTACCCATCAGACTCCCACTCCCCACAGCCGCGGCTCCCAGAAGGGCCACTGCCCAGGACGCTGGCGCCATGCTGCAGCATCCCCGTAGGAAGGGTGCCCCGCTGCAAAGAACCAGAGGGCAAGGTCATGGAAACCCCAAAAAAACCCCGATGAACCTCTAAACCCAAACCCAAGTTCTGCAGGCCATCTGCCGTTGCAGGGTTTGTGGGGATGAGCGGAGTTGTTCGGAAGAGTGTGCTCCCGACAGACAACGGAGAAGCTCTGAAGCCTGAGCCACGCGGCTACGCGGCTACGCGGCTCGAGTCTTTGCCGGGCAAGGGCAATGGGCAATTAAGAGGGCCCAAATTCTACTTTGGAATCCTGGCAGTATTTTTTACCCGCTGTCTCGGCCAACAGTGGGGCCAAGACGCAAGCAGGACCGGGGCTCCGAAAACGTCATGGCCCCACGCAGCAACCTGCATCAAGTATACTGCGAAACTGGATTACATCCTGAAACATTACAAGTATTGCAAACTGATTTGCAATCAGTTTAACAATGAAATGGACATTGAATCAAATGATGATGGTTCATCAACATGGAATGTAATGTCACGTTCACACATACCAATTCAATCTTTGTTGTTTATACCGGTATTTATCAAACTTTTCATGTTCATTTTGATTTGAAAGTTGTTGAGGTGCCAGTGGGCTCCCAATGACAACCACTTTCTCAGGGAGACACTCACTCACTGGCCATGCCTTCGTTTGGGTGAAGATGAGCTTCAGATTGCATGGTTGCGGACTTTGTGTCCGTGTTTCGTGAAAAAGTCAAGTTCGTGTCCACGGGACCTGACACACTCTGAGGCCTTCGTGCCTTTCCCAGTCCTGCAGGGATGCCTTGTTTGAGCTGAAGCCGTCACCCCTCCAACACTACCCAACCTGGCAAACCCCCCCCTACGCTTGCATTCTGCCCTAGCAAGCTCACGAAAGCCTAATCGCACGGTCAGTGCTTCTGGGCTGAATCAGCTCTGCAATATCACGCTGGGGCAGAATCCGTCAGGGGGTTGCGCGGTCCCTTTTCCGACTTTTGCAGGGGCAATCCTGGCAAGTCGCAAGCTCACTTGCCCTGCGCCCTGCGACAGGGACAAAGGGAAGCGAGTTGGCCAACAGCGCCATGAGCAAGTGTCATGATGGGAGTGAGGGACAAAGGCAGCTACCTTAAGGGCTCCAGGCGTAAACAGCGAAAGGTATAGGGCCTTGGAAAGAAGCATAAGCAGCAGAAACATGAGGACGAGACATGGCTTGTAGAAGCAGCTTAAGCCCTCCGACCCTGCCGCCCCTTGGGGATGCCGAAGACATCAAGAAAAAAGCGCACTGCAACCCTGCAAGAGCCCCGAAACCGGCTGAGAACACGCAAAGGAGCCCATATCAAGCTCAAGTTGGCGTACGGATCTCTGCCAATCGCAACAAGAGTTTTGCTTCCTTGCCTCGCGGTTTGAAAGTGTTCCTTGAGAAGCTCCGTCACAACGCGGGCGCTCATGGATATGCCTCGCTGAGTATATGCAGCTATGCATCAAGGTGGTAATTCCAGGCTGTATTTGAACCACCAAGAGTGCTTGCGCGCACCGGAGACCGACAGTAGACAAACCCCCCTCGTTGATTGCAGATCCGCATATGATGCAAAGCAGACGCCAAGACCACCTTGCAGTTTCGGCGTGCGTTGCAAAAGGGGGGGCTTTTCAAAACTGAGCCCCTTTTTCATTTCGTACAGTCCATCCCTACGCCACAACGCTTTGTAGGAGGGTTCTCCAGCCCTAGCCCTGCTGGCAAGAGGCTGGCAACGCCTGCCACCGCTGCGGTGGTGATGATGATGGCCTGCTGCGTGCGCACGGAGTGCCCCCAGTGGAACTCGTTTGCGAGCCTCAGTGGAAGAAGGCTTCCAGGGCAAATGGCTGGCGCAACAAGACTGTTCAGAGAGATAAATCACGCGACACGCCCCCATCACTTTCTTGTCCAGTTTGGCCCTTCTGAACGGAAGAACCCTCTTTGCTAACCCTTGGGGCAAAAGGCAAAGGCAAGGAGGGGGCGCTTGCCAGCAGGCGGCAAGCCGGAGACGCTGACGATCATGTACATGGCCGTGGACAGCAGGATGATCTCAATCCTCCAGGACTTAGGACTTATAGCCTCTTTGGGGTGTTTTAGGTTCAAGGATTGCCGGGATCAGTGGTTTTGGGTTCGGGCGAAACTTCAGGCCGCAAACTCTTCACCAGAAAGCTCTTCAGGGCTTGCCAACAAGGACCGCTTTAGGGTGCAAGCTGCCCAAACCCAGGCAACAACCTTTCTAAGGTGTATGCACCCTTTTGAAAGCTCCGGACAGCCACAGAAACCCTAAGCTCAGCGCTCCGGTTCCATTCCGGCGTGTTGTAAGGGTGGAAAGCCGTGTAGCTGAGCAGCGACGTGAGGATCACTGCGCCTGAGCCCCGAGCAGTCGGGGGGCCCGGCGTATCCGACGCCAGAACTATCATGGGGCACGAGAGAGGAACAACAAAAGCAAAGAAGAGAAGAGGCTAGGGTAAAGCAGAATGGCAGCAGGAGCATTGCAACCCCAAACGGCACCCAAGAAGACATCAAAGTCGTTTGCCCGTGTTGGGCTCTGCGGCGCAGTGCTGAGAATTCCCAAAGGGGCTGGAAGGAGTCAGGGTGTTGTGACGAACCTTTCGCAATCGTCTGCATTGTGGATCTTTGTGGTGCCATCTTGACACATACCGCAAGGCCATCTTGGGCAGTGGTGCTTAAGGGGCTGCCTCTCAACAGCTCCCCAGTTTGTCATCTGACGCTCCTCAAACCGTAGCAAGTTTCGCTAGCAACGTTCCGCATGTTTTTCAAAAAACCATTTACGACAATAGGGAAACCCCAGAGCCCGGCCTAAGCCAGTCATCTGCAGCGCAGGCGAGGATGCGATCGGAAGGAAGGCCCCGATGAAGGTCAGGAGCATCTTCCTTCATGTCCGGATCCAACACATTCTTCTAGCAGCTCCCGGGATTCCATGCGGCCGCTTCTAAGGTGTTCTGGCATTTCACAGCTTAAGCAAGCGCTCGGTCGGGTGTAGTGTCTAGAGCTTTGAGAGGATAGGCAGGAAGCCGTTCTGGGTTTGGAGAAGACGTGATGCCACCACTCCAGGCAGAGAAGGACAACAGATCATGAGTGGTAGCGGCACACAAAGCTTGCGCTCCTGACCAAGCGCTCCGTCTCGAAGAGGGCATGCTCAGGCTTGTACTTGCTGGTCAGGAAGACCACGTGGCTCGGCAAGGGGTCCTGCAAGGCTCTGCCGCGGGAAGGTCTGCGACGTCAGGGAGTAGGGGTTCGATTGACCAATAAGCTCAGGCGTTGCAATGCGACGACATCAGGTCGTCCACAGTTAAGTCTAACTCTTGGCAGGGAGCCTCTAGATGATAGCCCTATCTGGCCTTAGGCTGCCAGGGTCTGGGTCACAGCCGTTGTGGGTGTCATTGCTTCGGGTATACTAGGTCTCGGAGCCCGTAACATTGCATCCCTGAGGCTGACCGTAGCATTCAAACTATTTAGCAAGGCTGTATGCCAACTTGTCGCACAAATCTACGAATCGTCCGAATAGGCCTTTCCCCCCAGCTTCTTGCCTTGCCGCATAAGCTGGACCCAAGACAGTGGAGGCATGCAACACACACACACACACACTCACTCACTCACTCACTCACTCACACACACACACACTCACACTCACTCACTCACTCACTCACTCACACACACACACACCTGCAAACCCGAGCCTCGGTTGATTTCGAGAGGCGCAGCCTGAGGAACCGCGAGGGAAGTCTGGGGGTGTTGGGGCAGTTTTCGGGAGAGTTTAATGTGTTAGGCGCTTCTTTTGGAACTGGACATGGAAGCTTGCCGGTAAGGGTGAAGGGCTTGGGGTCATTGTGCTTGGCCTGTGGAAGTCCCTTGGAGCTTGCGGCCTTTCAAAACCCGTTCAAGACAGAGAGGGCAAAGACAAACGAAAAGCTTCTGCAAAGTCCTCGGGCTGTAGAATCCCGAACTCCTCAGGTTCTGGCTGCTGTGCCTAAGACTGAATATGGAGCAGGAGGCCATGTCCAAAGCGCGGCGCCAAAGCACAGCGCGAACCCGCCTAGGACCTGCGGCTGTGGGGTTTGTGCAGGAGGGTGGGACAGCCCTAAACCCTAAACCCTAAACCCTAAACCCTAAACCCTAAACCCTAAACCCTAAACCCTAAACCCTAAACCCTAAACCCTAAACCCTAAACCCTAAACCCTACTAGGAAGGTGTCGAAGAGAATTTCGGGGCTTTGCGCGGCCTGGGCGGCTCCCAGGATCCTGGGGCCGGAGGGCAGGAAGGGGCCTCGGACTCGAGAAAGTGTCGGGTTTAGGGTTTAGGGTTTAGGGTTTAGGGGGTTTGGGTTTAGGGTTTTGGGGGGTTTAGGGGTTTATTGGGTTCTAGGGGTTTAGGGGTTTCTGGGGTTTAGGGGTTTAGGGGTTTATGGGGTTTAGGGGTTTAGGGGTTTAGGGTTTTAGGGGTTTATGGGGTTTAGGGGTTTAGGGTTTTAGGGTTTTAGGGGTTTTAGGGTTTTAGGGTTTTAGGGTTTTAGGGTTTTTTTTTTGGCACCCGACTAGCCACGGCAACGCGGGGTTTGTAGGTCGGTCTCGGAGAATGGCGACTAGCTACGGCAACGCGGGGTTTGTAGGTCGGTCTCGGAGAATGGGAAAAGGATCCAAGGTCTGGTTAAAATGCCTGTTTAGGGTTTTAGGGTTTTAAGGTTTTTTATGGTTGTTTAAGGTTTTTTTTGGGTTTTAGGGTTTAGTTCGGGTTTACGTCGCATTTCAGCCTCGCGGAGTCTTCGAACCTTGGGCCGTTCAGTTCAGAACCGAACGTCTGTTTCTCTTCTAGAAACAATATATATATATATATATGTATATACATGTATATATATATATATATATATATTAGTTTATTACTATTATTATCATTATAAGCGTAATAATAATAATAATAATAATCACAATAATAATCATCATAATAAGAATCAAAAAAACACCAAGCTCCGAAAGCCCAGCCCTCACAAACCCTACCAACCGAAAAAGGCCCACGGCAACCCTGCAGGATCGCCAGCAACACCCAAATCCAAGGGGCACTCCAGGCCCTGGAATCCAGAGCCATCGTCTGGCTCCAGGCGGAAACCTGACACTTGTGAGGACTCAGAAAAGAGTGGCATGGCCCAGTCTCACGATCTACGCGCTCAATCGCGAGGCAAGAGCCGGGAGTTACCCAGAGGCTGTGAGGATTCTGAGACGGCTGTTGGGCCCCTGGCAAACCAAGTACTTCCCAAAGTCGGCGGCGATGCTCGGAAGGAAGCAGTTGAGGCCTGATACGATGGAGAAGGGCTGATGGAAGCAGGGCAACAGGTACCCATTTCCTCTCTATGTGAATAGGCACATCACCTCATCCTGACAAAAACCTAAAAGGTTGCAGCAGGTTGTGGACGACTGAGGGGGTTTCGATGTCGAGGTCCGATTGGCGAGTCCGATAGTTCCTTGTTGCAAGCCCCTTCTTGCTTCCAGCTTACCATCCACCAGCTTCTTTGGTCGGCTCTACTGGCTGAGAACCCCTAACCTCTACGCTTCTACATCCACCGGGCGTTTGCGAATTGTTCTGCATCCATAAAATGCAAGAACCGAGGATGTAGAAACTCGGAGATAATTAAAAGCATGCAGCCTGCTCCGGACACGGCCCGTCAAAGCTCAAAGGACCTTCCCACAACACCTCCTGCACTTTGAGGCGGAGCTCTCCACTCAAACACTTCTCAAACCCAAGAATCAGCCTGCTGAAACCCCATTGCCCTCAGCGATGAAACTCAAGGCAAACCCTGGGGATGATCTCTCCATGCAAGTGCCTGCAATGAGCGCAGCGCGGCTGTCCTTCGCCAAGGACAGCAGCGCAACCAGCACGGCTGCCACGGCCTACATGAGCTTATCGGGCTTCGGGAGCTCTTGCAGCCTTTATATATATATATATATAGGGTTTTGAATTCCAATGTTTGGTGCTGCAGGGCGACATGGAGGCGCGAGGCTCGGCTTCTTGCTTGTGCGACTTCCTCTTGCAACGACTGCCATGAGCCATACGCCGCCCCTCTTGCAACAGGCCTTTTCCTCGATCCAACAAGAGATCCTCTGCAAGGAAACCGCCCCCCTGAACTTGGAACCTCACCGTGACCAAGGCTCGTAGGGGGTGAGTCTGCTAAGCTACCCCGTGCAGCCGCGCAGCCACGTCCAGCAGGTGGGAGCCCCGCCTGGGCAACTGCTGACGCCAGAAGAGCACACTTACAGCTTCGAGTTCATCTTGGATTCTTGTTGGGGTCTTGAGACATCCTGGAACCCTGAAAGGTCGCCGCCCAGAAGCCCCCACTTTGGCCCAAAGCACAGGGTCTTTCCGTAGCCGAGGTAGGACAAGAGGCACTGCGAGGAGGCAGTGCCCAGGGACCCTGCATCAACAGGGGTTTTGGACGCAGGGCAAAGTTCCGTTGCTTGACATCCTCCTCTTCCACGCGACCGTGCAGTCACGAGGGGGTGCAGGAACCGGCGTGGTTTCGGGGGCCCAAGAAGATGACAAATGACCAGCAAAACAAGGTCAGCTCTCAATGACCCACTGCTTGAGGTTAAAGCGGCAACGGCCTTGCCCAGAACTGGTCTCCGCAACGGCCATAGTCGCATTGAACAAGAAGTGTACCTTTGCTCCGCAGCGCGCAGCAGAGCCAAGCTTTAGACGCTGCTTGAAATGCATGTGGGGTGGCTGTATCACTCTTCATGTCCTTTGCGGTCTGCGTTTGCATCACGGCGGCCATGATCCTGAGCAGCAACAGGGTCCAGACTACTCCAGCAATGAATACTTGAGTCAGTTTACACTGGGAGTCACATTAGCAGTGCTTGCTCTAGTCAACCCCAACAGGGCTGCTGGTGCAAGGCTTGTTCGAGCGCTGCAACGCCCAGGAAAATGCCTCGCCAAGCGGCGCTGTTGAGATCGTGGCAAAGGCCATGAGCTGATTCAGATACACGCTGCTCTGCTTGAGATCGCCGGCCTCAGGTTGCAACACTTGGGCTTAGTGCAGTAGCACGGCGAGAAATGCTGCCAGATCCGATCAGGCCAAGTATCTCTCTTGGCGCCAAGGGCGCTGGTGGCTGCGAGGACGAAGAGCACCACACGCTGCGACAGGAAGATGGCCCACTGCGCCGCCTATGGGGCAGAAAATGCACGCATCCTAATTCTAGTTCCGACAAAGCCCCCCAAACTATGTTCACTTCCAGGAGCTTCACGCCTGCACACGGGGCTCGTCGCTGCAGGCTGTGCCTTTGCCAACCGAGTCATTACGTGTTCGGATTCGCTGCCAGCGCTGCAAGCATCCCCACGCTCTGTGCTTTCATCGCCAGAAACTGCATACCCCAAACCTCAAACACTGCTTGCAGAGTCAGACCCGGAGCTACAGCCGCCAGCCGCCGCGCGACACTCGCGGGCCCGCTTGCGAACGCTGAGACAACAAGTTCACGTCAACTCCCTGACCCACCTTCAAACGAGAACCCTTCTGCTAAGCTCGAAAATGCAGAAAAAGGTCATCGAGAGCCTGGACTGCTTTGCACGGAGTCAAGTTGTGGGGGAATAGCAAAATATTCAAGCTTTTGGCGCCCGATGTCAGTGGCAGGCGTCCACTCAAAGTTTGAGGGGGCGCTCTGTTTGGTTCGCGTTTCAATGTGAAGCTTTTGAAGCTCTGAAGCTTGTTGTCTTCGCGAGCTTCGCGTGAAGCTTTTGAAGCTTCCTTGAAGCCTGAAGCTCTGAAGCTTCTCGAGCTTCGCGCTTCGTGTGAAGCCTGAAGCCTGAAGCTTCGCGAGCTTCGCGCTTCGCCTGAAGCCTGAAGTCTGAAGCTTCGCGAGCTTCGCGCTTCGCCTGAAGCCTGAAGTCTGAAGCTTCGAGAGCTTCGCACTTCGCCTGAAGCTTGAAGTCTCAAGCTCGGGAGCTTCGCGAACTTCGCGCTTCCCCTGAAGTCTGAAGCTTCGCGAGCTTCGCGCTTCGCCTGAAGCTTCGCGAGCTTCGCGCTTCGCCTGAAGTCTGAAGCTACGCGAGCTTCGCGCTTCGCCTGAAGCTTGAAGTCTGAAGCTCGGGAGCTTCGCGAGCTTCGCGAGCTTCGCGAGCTTCGCGAGCTTCGCGAGCTTCGCGCTCCGCCTGAATCCTGAAGTCTGAAGCTTCGCGAGCTTCGCGCTTCGCCTGAAGCCTGAAGTCTGAAGCTTCGCGAGCTTCGCGCTCCGCCTGAATCCTGAAGTCTGAAGCTTCGCGAGCTTCGCGCTTCGCCTGAAGCCTGAAGTCTGAGGCTTCGCGAGCTTCGCCTGAAGCTTGAAGTCTGAAGCTTCGCGAGCTGCGCGCTTCGCCTGAAGCCTGACGTCTGAAGCTTCGCGAGCTTCGCGCTTCAAAAACGAAGCTTCTCTGAGCCGCCCCTGGCTCGCAATCCAAAGTCTTCAAATCCCAGCAGACTGCCACAGAAGGAGAAACAGAAAGAAGCGTGCATGTGCCCCGCAACCCCCAAGCAAGCGCAGACAACGCTTAGCCCCCGAAGTCCTCTTGAGCTGAGCCCAGGGGCACGAAAGCACGCTGCTGTCTCCCATCGCGTAGCCCTTGCGGCAGTTGGCGCAACCCCGGCCCTCGTAGCCTAAGGCACGTGGGCTGCACATCTCAAGCAAGCCTACGACTGAGCTTATGACATGATGTGTTCCCCCCCCCCCAAATTCTGAGGCACTCCAGCACGAAGCCTTCTTCAGCAACCCATGGGGACGCATCTGCTGGTGAAGAGGCCCCTCAACCCCTTGAAGACCATCGATTCCTCGGTTGAAGCTCCGGCACCGGCTTCGCACATCGCAGTTCCTTGAGGAAGTTGGCCGCCGGGACAGGCAGCCTTGCAAGCTTTTCAGTTTTCGAAGAGGCTCCGGGGCTTGTGGGGGTCGGGGTTTGCAGCTCAGGGTCGGAGATTCAGGGTGCAGCGGGCGCAGCGGTACCGTTGATGGAATGTAAAGAAACTCTAAACCCATTGATGCTATTAGAGTTGATGGGATGAAGGGTCGAAGGGTTTTGGGCCCTCCTCTGTGTATGCACGAACACAGCCCGACCACTCGAGATCCCTGCCTCGCTCGGGCAGTGGAGGGTGTGGCTTACGTCTGTCTGCTCCACCATCAGCCCTGGCCTGAGCTGGAGCACGCGGACATCACAGCTCGAGTAAACAGCAGCTAGATTTAGCAAGGTTCTATAGTCTTCCGGATGCACAGGCAACAAAAGTGATCAGCCTCTGCAAGTCGGACCCTTCGGAAACACCACGCCAGAGCAAGTTCTAAATCCAAAAGACATAGCCCCACATCGCCCCCATCAACAGCTGTAGAGCCGACAACCGCAAATGGTCCACATAGCCCACATACCAATGTATCAATAATGTATCAATGAACGGCCCGAGCCCACTGCCCTCCTGCGCCCGCGCACCCTGATGCACCCTCTCGTGCGCAAACACCACCGCACACCCATGCATGCTCTGCTTCGGCCCGAGCACTCCAGCTTGAGGCGGCCTGCCAGGCACTCGCGTGCTCCATCTGGGCAAGCGCTGCATGACCTGGTGTAGGGGTGGTGGAGGCCAGCGAGGTGTAGGGTGCTAAAGCGCGAAGGCTTCACTCCACAAGCGTCGGCCTGTTGCTCCCGTTCAAGATCTGTGTGGTTCCTGGCTCGCATGCCTGGCATTCACTTGTCTTGGGTGTGTTTATGGGGTTTAGGGGCCGGTTACTGAGCTCAAAGGCCGCACGTTGGGATTTGGAGTTGTGGAAGTTCCTTGGGGATTAAGGGTGGTGGGCCGAAGGTCTTACAGTAGGGCTTCGCATGGCTGGTGGAGAAGGTGCAGGACGTCAAAATCAAGATTGCCTTTGCAAACCAGGTATACACGCTGGCCAAATTGACTGTGTTCTGGTTCGTGCTAGCCGTGCGTCTGGGCCTAGACACGACTTGAGCTTGCAAACGCCATCTAATCCGCCGAGGCCTCGGGCCGGAGGTGTATAGGTTGTCAGAACAGGCACCCCCCTCCAAATCCTCCCCCCACACCCAAAGCCCTTTTTCGGACCCCTTTTTTTGGCCTCAAATGGGTACCCCCCCTGAAAAACCGGGGTCCGCAAGCGGATGGTTCGCCAGGACCAGAAGCAGTTGAAGCCCCTCCAGCAGGGCCCCCGCCGTTGTTGCCTCCCGCCCCCACCCCC